AGGGGGAGTCGTACGTGAAAGAGGATTTGCACATTCTCAATCAGGATAAACTCGCAAGTTTTAAACATTCAAAACTTTTTGTACACTCTTATCCATTTGCAAATGGTGTTTTGCATTTGTGAAACGTATTTTATGAAAATGTATTTTTATTTTGTGCACGTGAAAATTTTTTGTGAATATAAATAAATATTTTACGCACGTGAATTTGATTTTATGCACGTGAATTTGGCTACGCATGTGTACATCGTGTCTTTTGCGTGAATTTCTTTTGAGACTAAACTGATTCCATACAGTACTGACTAATCTAATGTAAATGCACAAATATAATATCGTAGAGCTTCCTATTAAAATATAAATTTAAAAGAGAGATTTGTAAGGGGTGTACTGCTGAGCACTGTATGCATGTCATTTTACATGTAAATATATAGTAGTCTACATGCTTCACTCTGGGTCATATTTTGAGATTTTAATTAAAATATTTATGGGTATTTTTTAAAAGAAAGTTTGAAAATGCCTAGCTTATGAAAACAAAGCGAACAGCCATTAATAAAGCAAACAGCCATTTGCCGAACAACAGTGTTTCACCACCCTGATGCTCTTGTGTATCAATTGCATTAGCAAATGAAGTCAAATACATACTCGTGGCTAAAAAAAAAAAGTAGATATCTAAACTAAACACAGCTCTTACCCAGTCCAAAGTCAGCAGACTGAGGGTCATCATTGTCCCCGTCCTGGCTGATCTTGTGCAGGTGCTGCAGGTATGAGTCTGTATGAAACACAGCCATCTCCTCTATTGAAGCCACATGAGGCTTCACGACCCTTAATAAACAACCATTTTGAGAACATAGTTGTCAGTTAATATTGTTAACATGCTAGAAAATAAATTTAAATACAGAGAAACTGTGCCAGTACGTACAAATCAAGACACACCTCATGTATTTCAATAAGCCATACGCCTCGATCAGTGAATGCACCATGCTCGCCTGTAAGAGAAACAAAAGTAAATACCTTTTTTTCATTTAAGACACTCATTGATTCACATACACATAAATTTAAGTTATAATGTTAACGTTATTTATTTGATAAAACAAAACACTCCAAAGAATTACATTGTCATGGATCATGAAAGCTGTAATTTTTCGTTGTTACTAAGCTAATTAAGAAAAGCGATAGCGTTGAATTGTTAAGCTGAAACGTGAAGCATCTGGCAGATGTGTGTATGTTGTTTTTGGAGTGTGTGCAGAGTGCAGTTCATCTCACCCGGTTTGGCACTTTAGACAGTGAGTCACATGTCTGTATGTATTCCGGACTGTAAACATACACCACGCTGCGAGTTCTGCTTTTATCATCATTACTGTCGCTTTTTTCACTCATTTAAATCAAACTATTAAAATCAAAACACCACATAAACAGATACACAGCCCCGCAGTGAGCTCTGGCTGTCCTCACAATGACTGAACCTTACAACAATAAACTTCGGTTATTTCATAATAAAAGTCCAGTTTTTAAAACCGTAAACTGCACGAAAAACCTCTTAGTTGGAAAAAAACACATAACTGCCCTAATTTTAATTGTATATTGATTCTAAATATTATTTTATTTGGATCTTCACTGGTATGTGTTGATTTTAAGGGTGCCATAAAATAAATCCTAATTAAAAAAAAGTCTCAAACATGCTACAAACTTATGAAATGGACTGTTTAATAGTCAAAAGGTTGATACTCTTTTTATGGTGTTTGACGTGGAAATCTTTTTTCATTTAAACTTCCTTAAAAAAACATCCATTTATTTGAGATTCAACTTTAATAGATCTTATTTTCTGAGGAATTATGCAGAGATAAGGTAAGCTTTGTCTGACAGTGGGTTGTGCCAATTCCTGCTAGTTTTTGTATGAGTTTTTTTCTAAACGCAATCCCAACAAACACACAACGTTGCCTCAACGTAGCGACCTTCCTACAACGTTGTACCAACATTGTAAAAAGGTTGAGGATTCTACGTTGTGACAATGTAGCGAGCACGTAAGCGGCAACGTTGTCTTTGAAAAAATACAACGTTGTGCAGACATCGCTACAACGTAAATGTGTTTGTTGGGATGACAGAATTTCTTGCTTTAATCATAAACACTATTTAAATACATTTCAACAAAACAAAAACTTATATCTCTTTATACATTTGCTTTGTAAAGACGAACAACGCATAATCTTTTTTTTTAACTTTAAAGTAAAATATTATTTTTTATTGTTATAAATTAGATCTGAAAAAAAGAGAAAAAAAAAAACATTGTATGCTTCCTAAATTTACATTTAGACACAATGGCTTATTCCCAACAAACACATTTACGTTGTAGCGATGTCTGCACAACGTTGTATTTTTTCAAAGGCAACGTTGCCGCTTACGTGCTCGCTACATTGTCACAACGTAGAAATGTAAGACGTGAGAAGGCTGTAGCAACGTTGTCGTGCGACATTCAGCAACCGCGAGGCGGCGTTCTTACTACTTGTATTAATATTTTTTGTGGCAGTTTATCAATACTGCCTAGAATACAGGATAAGCAGCAATTCTTTTCCAGTATTGCTTAATATTAAATATTGTTCATTTATTTTTCCTATTTCATTTAACAACTGCATGTGTAAACTTTAAAGTGTAAAAATGCCACACAAATGAATATAATCAAACTTTTTATTATATATTTCACAACATTTAATACATACAGTACAAATCTAATTATAAACAAACAGTATAAAGTTTAGATTATATATATATATATATAATTAAACTAAAGGGTAAACAAACAAGAAAAGTAAACAAGAAATCATTAAAATGTATATATATATATATATATATATATATATATATATATATATATATATATATATATATATATATATATATATATATATATATATATAAATTAAAATTCAGACACTGGGCAGTGAAGCTCTGGACTGGAGAATACAGCAGACCAGGGAGCGCAGCTGAAGACCAGGCATAGTTGTTGGTATGGAGAAAGCAGTCAGAGGAAGAAACAAATTCAACAGATAATCCAGCTTCAGAGATCCACAGCAGACACAAGTCAAAATAGGCAGTGAACAAGATAGGACAGATGGAAACGAATATGACTAGCAAGTTATTGAAATTTCAGACATTTATTGTAATTTCATTACATATAAAATCTCCAGTGAAAGGAATGCCGAAATGTTACTCGCTCGTAACAACTTCATTACGGCTTTTGTGTGTGTGTAATGTTGGAACAGATTGTTGTCGAAATCGTAGGTTTGTTTGAATATTCACGATTTACGTATCTTATTTAGCAAGAAGAAATAAAGCAATACTCACGTCTCCTCGGTCGTTAATGAATGAGACGACGGCTTGTTGAAATTTAAACTGATTCAGCTGTGACCAGTAAATGTTGTACAGTGGTTGTCCACGCAACCTAAGCACAACCTAAAGTATGCGGCCCTCGTGATGTTTAAATGGCAACCTTATGACATCGTTGTGACAACGTTTAGCAACAACGTAGAATCCTCAACCTTTTTGCAAGGTTGGTACAACGTTGTAGGAAGGTCGCTACGTTGAGGCAACGTTGTGTGTTTGTTGGGTTGTCTTCTCATTCAAAAATTTTCATTCGGCTATTTCCTTTTTTTAGCAGTAGTTGCCACAGCGAATAAACTGCAGTGGATGCCCTTCCAGTTGCAACCCAGAACTAGGAAACACCCATACACTCATGTTTTTGGATTGGTGGGGAAAACCAGAGCACCAGGAGGAAACCCACATGAACACGGGGAGAACATGCAAACTCCACACAAAAATGCAACTTTCTTGCTATGAGGTGACAGTGTTAATAACTGAGCCACTCCGCTTATTGTGTACTTTTTCTTTACTGTCATTTAAAGTCAAAACGTCTTGATTAAAGAAAACTTTGAAAAAAAATGAAAAGTTTTTTAAGATGGTGTACTGTTTTTTACTTTTTACAGTTTTTGACTGTTTCAGTTATATAAAACAGCAAAAATACACAAAAATCCTCATAAATTAACAAGTGAAATAAGTTTATTTATATTTATTTTCATTTAGTTCAAATTATTATACTGTGAGCAAAATAAATAAATGTTACTTTTCCATAATGGCTTCTCTGAGTACATGCACACATCTACCGTTCACTTGTAACACAGCTTTAAAGACCACAAATGCAAGTCTAAAACACAAAACATTATTTACTTAACAAAGTAGTCACCTCTCCATCAGTTGAGACTGTAAACGTACACTATATTCTCATCATAGCTGATGCAGTATATCTTTTTTAGGAGCTAAACAAAAACAAAACACTTTCATGCTTAATTGAGCTCATTCAGGGTAGACATTCAGTTTAGTTGATATGAATAAGAGACTGCGAGAGACAGATTTACAATCTTTAAAGAACACTCCAATTTTTGGGAAATATGCTCATCTTACAAGTCACTTCGAGTTAAACTTGTTGAGTTTTACCTTTTCAAAATCCCTTCAGCCAATCTCTGGGTCTGGCAGGAGCACTTTTAGCTTAGCTTAGCACAGATCATTGAATCAATAGCCTCTCACTCAAAAAATGAAGAGAGTTGTGATAATTGTCCTATTTAGTCCCATTTTGAAGTCTTATTTTGACACTTCCATAGTTGCATTGCGTACTAAGACCCACAGAAAACGTAACGTTGCTATTTTGTAGTTCAGTAGGAGCTATTCTCTCATTCTGGCAAATAATCAAGGAACTTTTGTTTGCGCCTGCTTCAGCCATAGCACAGCAGCAAAGTTGCTTTGATTATTACACCAGAATAAGAGTATAATTTATAAATAGCAACTTTTCATTTTCTGTCAGTCTTAGCACACAATAAACTACACGAGTGTCAAGATTTAATTAAGAAAATTATTAAAACTGATAATGGTCTAATCGGATTCAATGATTTATGCTAAGCTAAAGGTGACTTGTAAAATTAACCTATTTCCTAAAAAAGGGAGTGTTCTTTTTAAAAAAAAAAAATGTAAGTGCTTTGTACGTAGAGTCTGTATATCATAGATCACATACAATCTAGTAAACTCACAACCTGTTTTTTATTAGCAGAACAACTGCGGACTGTATTTCTCCATTTTCCACAGCCTTATGTTTCATCCTGATATTAAATATGCTAAATGTACTGTACCTAATGTAAGAACTATTCAAGGATTACCATTAAACTTTAAACTACAAAATATATTATGTGCTCAATGACGAGTTTATTCAATACTAAAACTCACACAAATATCTCAAAAATATGACTTAAAATAGTGGTCTTTTGACTGTACAATAAAAACTATGCTATTTAAAAACCTAGGTAGGTGTCACTGTACAGTACAGGCGCCACTAGGCAAGAAGTCCTGGGCATAAGTAGCCACAGCTTTAGTAAGGTAAGTCATGGTGCCGAAGCGGCCGCTGGGTGCAGTGTCATACAGGAGCCGACAGATGCCCGTAGACTGATCCTTCTCCAAAATACTGTCCTCAGCACCAAGATCCTTCTGCAGACGACAATGAAAGTACTTTTTTTTTTAACTTGTAGATATTTTTACAGTGACCAAGAGAGCTTAATGTGCTGTAATTTAAGAAAACACCTGCAGTTACAAAAAACGCCAGCAAATTAAGAAAAGATCGGTTTGACAGTGTACGTGTTGCAAATCCTCACAACGCAAACACTACAAAAAACACTCTGCATTTTCTCACAACATATGCAAATAGCACAGAGCACAATGGAAATGTTTCAAGGGGACCCTAAAATGTGATGGACATACTGAGGTTGTGGTTATTTGGGTTAATAATATACAAAAGACAAGAGAAAGGTGTAATCGGGATGTTAAAATACACAAAAACCTTTTAAATACCACCTACAACTTCACTGAGCACAAGTCCTGGCCCAATAAGCAAATCCCAGCCAGGTTCATCACATTTTTGGGTCCCCTTGAAACATTTCCATTGTGTTCCACACTATTTGCATGTGTTGTGAGCAAATGCAGGTGTTTTCTTAACTTTGTTTGCGTTGTGAGAAAATGCTAAATGTATGCTGTTAATTAGTTGCCGTTATTTGTAATAGCATGCATTTTCTTTAACTGCAGCATGTTTAGCTTTCTCTTGACCACCATTTATTTTAGATTAATTTAAAATGCACATCCATACCTGGTCTTTGTAGAACATGTCATTAGCAATATGAACTATTTTTTCTATGTGGATGATGCTGCCGATGCTCTGAATGTCAACATCAGCCAGCATTGTCAAGACGAGGATGCCTTCCACCAGCAGCTGCCTGTATTCAGGCTGAGGGACACGGTTCAGCACCCTTTCCACATGTACCGCAAATTTAATCTCACCTGGGGTCATCTGGAGGGAGGGAGATATAACGGTGACAAAGGAATCTCACATTCAAGGTTGAAATAAGTAATTGGAGATTTGAGATGAGAAAAGACTATCAGGTGTTTTCACTAGTAAAGATATTTGCTTTGTCCCAAAACAGGCACAATATTTGTTCAGTTTGCTTATGTAGGAAACATTTCTAAATGGATGTGAAGTTTAATCAAGCAGTTAGTTTAATCTTTGCTCTGGGTTAATCTATGATTCATTTTGACATGCAATGGCAACACACACTAGATTTCATACAGGGTTTAGAATAAACATTCACACACTGTGATCGGTCAGGTTTTTTAGTCTTTAGGGTTGGAATGATTCTCTAAACAAGCAATCCACTCCAGAGTTTGATTTCTGATTTCACCAACAGTAGTCTGAAATCACATACTTTGTAAATACAGTAGATACTACCTACACTTGTACTTATTTCATGACTCTTTAGATAATGTATGAAAAAAGTATCAGGAACAGAATTCAGACATACTGCCATCTACCATCACATGACCTCCCAGCATCAGCTGTCTTCATTTCCTATCACAAATTCTTACTTGTGCTCTTGTGAGATAGTGAAGTGTCCAAATGTGTCAATATGTTAATTTTTGCATAAAATCTAATAAACAAGCTTCCCATTGCTTTATGGTTTGTTAGGATATACTGTAAATTTGGCAATCTGGAATCTGATGGATCAAAAAAATAATAATTTAAAGGTTATTTTCTTAGTATTTAAGTTGGGCTAGGGCATAATTGCAATACTGTATTTCTTTATGGAACATGATCTCAGTGTAATAATTTTCGGCAACAATTTTTACCAAATTTTTGGCAGTAGCCAATAATATACCTTTGCAAAATAGGATTTTTTTGTTGTTGTTCATTTATGATGTGCATTTCAAAATCTCGGCAGAAGTAGTAGGTTATCCAGGTACTTCTCATCTGCTCTTATATATTAACTTATTGACGTTTTATACTAAGGATTTTAGAGCAACTTCCATATATATATATATATATGCATGAATGAACCTCAAATATTGCAAAACAAGCAATTCAAGTGTGAATACTCTGTAAACACATTGATTATGGGGTCAAACCTCTCTTGTAGTAGAAGATGGGAGAACGAAGCCTTCTATTGAAAGGCCATGACACTGGGGAAAAGAATATAAATAATAAAAATATAAATTTTAAAAAAGATTTACAAACTATTATTATCTATGTTGTTATTAATAAAAAGCTCTACTCAATATATCCCAACCTTCTGCAGAATCTTCCAGACTTTTTGATAAAAGCCAACAGGAACTCTGTTGAGAGCTCCATCAAGCCGCCTCCTGCGCAGCCACTGGCCCTGCCGACTATCCCGGGGTACACCAACACTCACGGAGCTGTCAAACCCATCAATTGAAGGCATCCTGCTCCTCTGTAAGTCCAATTTTAGAACATAAAACAATTTTACATTTTTTGGGGGATTAATCACACTATTTAACCACTTGTTAATATAGAAATCCTATATATATACGCTAGCTGACAAAAGTCTTGTCGCCTATCCAAGTGTTAGAAACAACAAATATTAACTTGACTTCTAGTTGATCATTTGGTATAAGAAGGAACTTATATAAAAGGCAAAGGCCTCTAGATTATTGTACCAAATAAAATATGATCATGCCTTGATTTTTAATGATTTAATTAGGACAGTAAGGTCTGACTTTTCTCTGACAAAAGTCTTATCTCTTAAAAGAAATAATGTGCAGTATAGAATATAAAGTCATGGTGCAGTGGAATAAAAAAGGATTCATATTCAATGCCTCCTTCTCCATCTTACCCCAGACATGCTCAATAATGTTCCTGTCTGGTGACTGGGCTGGCCAATCCTTTAGCATCTTGAGCTTCTTTGCTTTCAGAAACCTTGATGCTGAAGTATGAGGAGCGCTATCCTGCTGAAGAACTTGCCCTCTCCTGTGGTTTGTAATGTAATGGGCAGCACAAATGTCTTGATACCTCAGGCTGTTGATGTTGCCATCCACTCTGCAGAACTGTCGCACACCCCCACACTGAACGTAACCCCAAACCATGATTTTTCCTTCACCAAACTTGACTAATTTTTATGAGAATCTGGCCTCCATGCAGGCTCTAGTAGGTTTTCTGCAGTATTTGTGATGATTAGAATGCAGTTCAACAGATGATTCATTGGAAAAATCTATCTTCTGCCACTTTTACAAATGATCAACTAGAAGGCAAGTTATTATTTGTTGCTCTTACAACTGGGATTGATGACAAGACTTTTGTCAGGTAGTGTAGTGCCTATATAATGACTGCAAGACACATAAACTTGAATTAAGCCACAAACAACGTTTTACTGTACTTCATGTAAAAACATCTAATGTAAAAAAAATTCCAATGTGAAAAAGATTCATTATAGTTTAACCTCAATCCATTTCAGGTATTTGATCAAAATATTCCAGCCTATATGAATATACAAAGCAATCAAAAAAATTAAGAATGACAACTGTAATGATGGGCAATTGTTTTCCCAAATAAAACAAAATAGCAAATACCACTCAACAGTTAACAGTGACAATGATGAACAATAAAAATATTAACAGCCATTCACAACTGATCCTACTTTAAAGATCCCAAGCATTTCAAATGGCAGATGCTAAAACTGCTGTGAAGCTTGATAAACAGACTGTTTGATTCATTTGGTATGGACAGAAATAAATTTATTGTTATGGTTATCATTATAGTTATGCTCGTTACATTACTACAGATTTAAATCTACACAGAGACCCTGTATTGGCGTTTTTTTCCATATTGTTAAGAAGATCTGACTAATTAAAAGTGACAAATTGTGGTACATTAAAGGGATGGTCCACTATGATATCATATTTTTGACTTTAGTTTATGTGCAGTGTAGCTGTGTGAACATAAACAGCATCTCTGAATGTAAAATACTCAAAGTTTAATTCAAAGGGAGACCAATCAGAGTCACTTGATGGTGGGCATTTCAGAGGAACTAGGAAATATATCAGTCGTTTTCATGTTAGCTTAGTAGCTGTAAATAATCAAAGTGAGATTTATGAAAAATAGCATGATTCCCTTCAAGTGAAACATAAGCACAAATTACTTATTAACACAACCAAGCCTTAAAATTACATTCTGGACCACCCCTTTAAATAATCTTCCAGGCACAGACACTTTCAGATTTTTGCAACTTTGTCAGATGCCTAATCATAACCTTCAAAAATCTAATTGCAAAGATGATATGGCTTATAAGAGACAAAAACTTACCGCTAATTCAACAGGCTCAGCATCGAAGGACTGACCTGAGAAAGTCTACGAGGCAAAAAGTCAAACAGCAAAGGGGAAATCAGTTTTGTACTGTAAACATGATGAAATGCTTATAAACCACCTTCAAAAATGATGTTCACATCCCCAGTGCAATTAAACACCCTGCCATGCAGCTTTGGACCCCATGATTCCTGTATATGTCTTCTTTATATAATGTATAATTAAAACGTTAGATGTACAGTAAATTTTCTCCCATACCATTAATGCAAACACCAACAGTTTGTATCTTAAATTGTTAACCTTTAAAAGGATAGCTTACCCAAAACTGAAAATTCCACCATCATTTACCCTAACTTATTTCAACCATCTTTCAGTTTATTTCATCTGTTGAACACAAAAGTTGACATTTTGAAGAAAGTAGAAAGCCTGTAACTATTGACTTCCAAAGTATTTGTTTTTCTACTATGGAGGTCAATGGTTACAGGTTTTTAGCTTTCAGCTTCAAAATATTTTTGTATGTTCAACAGAAGAAAGAAACTAATAGAGGCTTGGAACCACTTAAGAGAGAGCAAATAGTGCGTATATTTTCATTTTTGGTTGAACTATGCCTTTCATTTGAGATTAGACCACATTAAATGAGGCTGATCCACAGCTTATTAGGACACGTCACCTTACTTTGGATCGACCATGAAAATCTGAGCTCTTCCAGCTGAAAACATTTAAACATTATCAAATCACACGCACACAAACATGACAGATAGGCACACTATAGTGTCTTAAACGTGTGTTTATCAGGCCAATACATGTGTTTTTTTGATCATGGTTCTGGATGTGCAGTCACCTACCATCTTCATGTCACTCTTCAGTTTGCTGATGCCTGCGCGCTCACTCTTGGTGGCTCCAACATTGCCCACCTCATGGATTGAGATGACAGGACTGACACCGGGCTCAACTGAACGAACTTAAAAACAAGCATCAACACATTTAGTCAAATAAACCAATCATGCTAAATACATTCGTAAACGTATTCTATAACATTCTAGTTATTGTTCTAAAACAGTGTTTCCCAATCCTGGTCCCACTGTTGCGCATAATACACATGAGTCTCTTATTTAAAGGGATAGTTTACTCAAAAACGACAACATAGTCACTATTTACTCTTTTATTTACTCTGAGTTTCTTTCGTCTGTTGAACACAAAAAGAAGAAATTTTAAAGAAAGCTGAAAACCTGTAACCATCAACTTTCTTAGTAGAAAAGACAAATACTATGGAAGTCAATGGTTACAGGTTTCCAGCTTTCTTCAAAACATCTTCTTCTTAAAAGTGACACAGTATACCACCCTAAATAAATAGCATATCAATTTACATATGTAAGAAAAGGATGCAGATCAGACAAAAAAATTGTTACATCTAGCTCCCACAAACTGGCCACACTAAGGGGCTGCTATCTGATAAACCTCCCCAGGTTTAAACGAAACAGACTTATGCAAGCATGGAGACATGCAAATCCTTACAGAACTTCTCTTCAAAATAGATCTAGAAACTATATTCTAATGTTGTTTTTTTACATGTGTGTGTGTGTGTGTGTGTGTGTGTGTGTGTGTTTAAGTTTTTTTGTGTTGGATTAGTTAGAAAACTATGCCTTAACAGAATATGATATCTAGAACTTTACTTAATGCTTCAAACATTACATAATATAGATTTTATGTGATACCCAACGTATTTATTGTCTGGATTCAATTTCTAGATTAATTTCGTGATTGTATTTCACACGATAGACGCAATGTTATGTTTTGGGGTAAAAGTGCGACTAATTCAGCAAAAGGATGTAATGGATGCATGTTATGGATGCAAATGAAATGTAGACTAAAACAATGGATCATACAAGTTCCTTGGGGAAGGGAAACTCCTCATTGCTTACTGATTGGTTTGAAGGTAAATTCAAGTTCAATTCCATGTCTAAACATGATTACAGAAGGCCTACTTTTTCAGGACAAACCTGCTTAAATCAACAGACCTTTGCTTTCCATTCTAGAAAAACCCTGCCTGGAACCATCAAGCTCGCCTAGAATCCATAAGCAAGACCAGACTCTGACTAATGCAAGCTAATTCATCTGTTTAGATATAACACAGAGATTTCTTTCTCTCTGTCGTGCATGGATGTTGTAAAAATTTGTGTTGTCTGTACCTTTTCGTAACTATTATTAAATGTTTGTGCCCATGCATACTGCTTGTTTTTACACACAGTACGAGTTACTCGAACTCACAGATAAAGCTGTCAGTTTACTAATCTTGTAATGTGGTGAGATCAATTATTTTTCCAGGCCAGGAAAATTAGTTGATCTTTGCATTAATAGACAGATGAATTGAAGACTTAAACAGACGAGCAGTTCAGTTTAATGTAGGTTTTGTTCTGCTATCATTAACAATAAAGTCAACCCAAATATTGATAATTAAATAATATCTTTTTATTACTTATGAATATGAATCATTATATGAGCTAATGTTGCTACACATATCACATAATAAAATGCCATTTCACTGAAACAAACTATATATGCTCCCTTCAAATTGAAATCATGGGGGAATATCTTGCAGAGTTCACTTACTGTCGAATTAGAACAAACATCTGATGTGAAAAGAGAAACAAGGACCGAGATTGAGAAACACTGCCCTTAAAGCCCAGTAATTCTCATGAAGTCACTCACCACTTCTCTGAACACCGAATTCTTTTCCGCTCAGAATGTGGTGAAGAAGATTCTTCAACTCAGAGGGACTCAGTTTCATCAGACTCTCTGTGGCCTCCTCACCTTTAACACCAACAAAAAAAGATACATTGTAGAAAAAGCTCTGAAAAAAAAATTAAGAGGCCACTTGACAATTCTCAGTTTTATACATTTATCGTTTATAGTCATTTGTGTCCGATTAAAATTACATTTTTGTTTTTATTAATTGTTTTCCAGTGTTCTGCACATATTTTTCTGAAATGCGGAAAAAAAACATTTCAAACATCCTCAAATCTCGTAAAATGTGGTATGAACACACAACATTTAATAATAAATGATAATAAATGTGATACCTGAGCAGTTTAGAGATTGGGCCAGTTCAGTTGCCATAACCTGAATGATGAGGCCGATCCTCAGCCGAAACATCTCACTGAACAAACTGCGCTGCGTTCTGATGATCATCGCTAGGTACACTATGATCTCCTAACACACACACACACACACACACACACACACACACACACACACAAACACAAACACACAAACACACACACACAAACACACACACACAAACACACACACACACACACACACACACACACACACACACACAAAAACAACCAAGTATATTGAAAAGAATGACAACCTTACACTGATAAGAACATATAAAGTTTATGAAATATTTTGGCTAATCTGATGATGGTTTTCCATTACTGATATAAAAAGCATAGAAATATTATTTGAGCAATGTCACATGAGTGCCAGAGCGATATGGCTGTATATTGGCACTGCTGGGTGCATTGCGTCCCACCAGTGACAATATACAGCCATATCACACTGCTACAAGTGTGATATTGCATTTATGCAACAGTTCGACGGCATAATCATGTATATAAAAAATAAAATCAAACGCTGAGAGCCTCAAAATCCTTTATGTGATTCTCTAGCGTAATGTCTAAAGTGATGACAAAACAGCTGATTTTGCTCACATTTTAAGATTACAAGGCTGAACGACACCAGTTTTCACCAGTTGCAATCGAGATAGCACAATAATTAACCCCCGAAACAGCCAAAGGAAAGCAAATACTTCCAGAAACACTACCAGACTATGGTGTAAATACAGCACTACAACACACAAAAGAGAGAGATCGACTTGAATGTCACTTACCAGTTGTATAATGATTTGACCAGCTGTAGTTTGAAATCTACACTGTTTTTCTCCTCTAAGGACTTATTATGCAGTCTCTGTCGCAATTTTGTGGTGAAACATCAACCATCTTTGCTCTGCTCAATGATAGGCTGATGGATATCCAAAATATCCACTTTATCTCCAAAATTATAAATATTAAAAATAGGCACTATCCTTATAAATAAACTGAGAACAAAGTTGCATTATAAACAACAATATTTTGCCTAAAAAGGCCTGAAATTATTAGGATTCTGAAATTATATTCATTTTGTTGTACAACAGCTGCAATACCGGTCAAACTGTAGTCCTCTGCTTGCCACTCATGTGGGCAGAGTAAAACACAAGGGTGAAAAGGCAGTACGAGTTCTGATATTACTTTATTTAATATATAATACTATATAATAATATTCTGTATTATTATCTAATATTATCCTCCACAATCAACAAACAATGTGTACACATCAACCTATATTATAATCATTTTAAAATTATTCTAAAATGAAAATTTAATAAAAAAAGATAAATAAGTGACATAAAAAACTTTTTTCATTATATCATTGTATTTTATATGTAATTTAATCTTATTAATAAAATGAAGCTTTATTTTCAGCTTAATTTCTCTAGTTTCCAGTGTCATAATCCATCACAAATCATTCTAATGTTATCAATGCTAAAAATAGTTGTTGTTTTTTTTAAATCTGGATGCATTTTTCAGGATTCTGTGATGAACAGAAAGTTAAAAAGAACAATATTAATTTTAAATCTGAATATTTTTACATAGTCATCCTTCACAGACTACTTATTTTAGACTTACTCTAAAAAAAAACACTTTTAAAAAAATATATGCATATAAAAGATTCTCAAAAGTTCTATTGAAAGAACTCAAAATTAAAATAATCTTACTGACTCCAAACCTGTGAATGCTTGTGTAAAATCAGCATGTTTGTGTGTAACCTGTGTGAGGATGGCAATAGTGATGCTGTTTTCGCTGGCTTGATCAATCAGTAAGGCCAGTTGGTCAGGAGGCAAAGGCCTGCAGAAAAACATTTAGATCACATACACATGCAAACAAATCAATATACTGCACTGTTGTAGTATCACCTGCACTAGGTATGACCAAGAAAACTCACGCTGTAATGGTTTTCTCTCTGGGCTCTGGTGGTAAACCGACCGTCAAGTGCTTCTGATGAGCCAGCAAATCTGAGCAGGCCTACAAAAATAACCATGAGCCAAAACATAGACCAATTCATGAACAACAGGTAAACGACAGCAAGAGTGTTGTTGATCTAAAAAGTTGAAGGAAAAATAATTATGTGAAATGTTAAATCTTATTAAAATGACTCCCGGATGATGTTTAACAGACATGAAATGTTGACAGTACTTCCTATTATATTTTTTGTTCTGGAGAAAGTGTTACTTCTTTGTGAGTGTTGCTAAAAATATGTAAATAATAATATAACCAATATCAATAAAATATTATTATTATAACTAATAATAATAACAACAACCAATAATAATTTAAAAATTCCACTTTTTATTACTAATATGTATTCGACTAAAATGAATCATTTGTTACAATGCACTTATTTTGCGAGTACATGTTTTGCATTTTACTTATCATTGATTAAATTCCTGCATATAGTTACATCTGTAATTCATTTCTGTAATTTGGGTATATACAGGGATCAGAGAGTGAAATTAAAGACCTTTAAAGACCTTTTTAAAGACTTTTTTCATACATTTTAATTGCCACTTTAGGTTTCACTGGTTATCAGTGTACAGGTAACACATTTCAAATAATGCAAGTTAAGTAATAATATTACATTTCTAGGTTCGCTTTTAAAAATAAATTGCTGAAATAAAATTAAAGTAGCTTTACTAAATCATGCACTCAGTGAAAGAATGCATTCAATATTCTGAACGCATCAAAAAAGGAAAAGATTGGCTCAATGGACAGTGATTTTACTTAACTAATTAAGACAAAAATACAAAAGGAGCAAACACATTGCTTTAAACTTTCATTAAACTGTATATACACGGCATGTAACGCAGAACTTAAAATACCATAAAAAGTAACCAAGTAGCACAACTAGTTACTTTTTTGGAAAGTAACTCAATTTTAGAATGAAATACTTTCAAAAGTAACTTTCCCCAACACTGCTGGTAACATTGACAACATTTTAACTTACAGTTTATTTAATAAATACTGATTGTAAAAAACAAATACTAAACTAAAACAACACTGAATAAAATGCTAATCCACCAGGTGGCGCCTATAGCAGATACAATGGCCCGTTTTCACTGAGTGGTACAGTACGGCAGGGCTTCCCAAACTTTTCAGCCCGAGACCCCCAAAATGACAATGTTAGTGACTCGCGACCCTCAATATCCTCTAAGGTGGCTATAAATACAGAAACCTTGCATGCAATGGCACACACACACACACCAATAGACCCAAGTCTATACTTCATTGAATTTTTTTATGTATGTCACTGCTGTAAAATCTGCCAGAAAGTTTAACCTGGTGTTCTAAAATCAATCTGCTGCATCTGACGCTATTGCGTCTTTAATATAATGTAATTACCCCAGGGGTCGCAATCCAACAGGACTAGTAACTATAAGCTACTATAGTGACTATATAGTAACTATAAACAACGTTTTAGATAAAATATGGTAATTCTTATTGTTTAATAAAAATAAATAGATTTTTGGAAATCACTAGACGACCCCCCTTCATTGTCCCGCGACCCCTTGGGGGGTCCCGACCCCCACTTTGAGAACCACTGCAGTACGGTACGGGTCAGTATGGGTCACCTTTATCAGCTTGCGTTTCCACTGCCAAAAAGGTACCAATGGTGGGCGTGGTGTACCACAGAAAGTTTCAGTTGATATCATTCTCGCTTAAGGAAATGTCAAAGTAAAGCTGTACGGGTCGTTCACATATCATATAAGAAGCACTTCTTACAAAACAGATGCTTTATACACATAAATACTTGTGTACAAATGTTCATTACTAACCTTTCTATGAACATGATTTGATTATACCTGCAAATTAATGACACGAAATAGACTACTGCAACGTCAGCGATTATATAAAATAAATAAATAAATGCAACATATATGAACACAAACAGACCCTACAGTCTCCGATATGTTACCAATTACAGATAAACTATACACAGCATACATTTGGTCCTTCTTTGAGTTAAAAAAAACAACAACATGTAATAGCCCACAATTAGAGCAAACCTCTCATCTGTCTCTTTAATCTTCACCAGCACACGTAACCTCTCTTAGAAAGTAATTCTGTCATTCCGAGTTCATGATAGTCTGAAAGGTGATGATAATAGTTAAACATGGCAGTTTGTTCATGTTGAAACGATCATTGCTGAAAGAATTATTTGCTCCTTTGTTTTTTGGTTTCTCTTTTGCTTTTTCGTGCGTCAGTCTCACGCTTGTCCGTTTCTGAAAGGATCAGATGTCAGAAGCACTGCAACAATCACGCCCACGTTATTATCATCAGCTCAAGAATATAGATGCACATCGAGCGCAAGCGAGAAAGCAAAACTGCTCACGCTTTAGACAGCATTGTAAACAACTATGGGGCACAGGGTAAACTCTGCTCTTCTTCTTGGCTTTGTGGCTGTTCATCAAGACGGCGACAAGGTTTGTTAAAGCTTGGTTAAGTCTTTTTTAACTCTGCCCACAAATTTTCTATAGAATTGAGATCAGGGCTTCGTGATGGTCACTCCAAAACATTCACTCTGTTGTCCTAAATCACATTTTAACTAATTTGGCAGATTTCTTGGGGTCATGGTCTGTTTGGAAGACCCATTTGTGGCCAAGTTTTAATTTCCTGGCTGATGACTTGAGATGTTGCTTCAGTATTTCTACATAATGTTCTTTCTTCATGATGCCATCTATGCTGTGAAGTGGACCAGTCCCTCCTGCAACAAAACAGCCCCCATACTTCACAGTTGGGATGGTGTTCCTAGGCTTGTAAGTTTTCCCCTTTGTCCTCCAAATGTAACAACAGTCATTATGGCCAAACAGTTCAATCTTAGTTCCATCAGACCACAAGACATGATCAAACATACCAGGAGACATGTCCTCTGGTCTAATGGAACTAAGATTAAACTGTGGGCAGAGTTGAAAAAGCTTGTGCGAGCGAAACAGAAAACAAATCTGACTCGTTTACACCAATTCTGTCAGGAGGAATGGGCCAAAATTCCCTCAAACTATTGTGAGAAGCTTGAGGAAGGATACTCAAAACATTTGACCAAAGTTATACCGTTTAAAAGCAAAGCTAAAAAAAATACCAAGGAAATGTTTGTAAACTTTTGACTGTCTAGAAATTAACACAAAATTCCCCAAAAATCTCTCTCATTTAGCAAGTGTAAATCATTTAGTTAATACTAACAGATCTAAAATAGTGAACGTTTAGTATGATTTACCATCAGACATTTTTAATAAATTGTTATGTTCCTTTTTTTAAAGTGTATGTACACTTCTGGTTTCAACTGTGTGTAAATATGATTGTCTTGGCTGTGTTTTTAAAAATGGTGCTTCCTTTGTTTTCATTCTCCTGCTTGTACACACGCTAGTGACAAATTTCTGTAAACTAATAGTGTTCAGCTGCACGTCTAGCTCCGCCTTTTGGTACCCTTTTGTTGTACTAGGTACCCTTCCGAAAGGCTACTAAAAAAGTGCTACGGTACGATTAGCTTTTTGGTACCTTTTGACAGTGAAACGCCATAAAAATGTACCGAACTGTACCAGACCACTCAGTGGAAACAGACCATAACAGTGTTGCCTTGGTCAGCGTGTCATAAAATCTAGTAGGATTTTATAAAAACTACACAGCATCCTGATGTTTGCAGATTAAATTCAGGCAAACTTTAACATAAAAAATTATACAAAATTTATCACCTTGTAAAATAACATTCAAGACTTTTAAAAATACTTTAAGGCATTAAATTTGTCTAAATGAATGTATCCAATTTTAATAGCCGACGGACACCCTGGTAACATTGTTAATTACACTGTTGACCATCCCTTACACCTTAACCAACCCTTAAACCTACCCATACCTCCAAACCTGTCTCTAACTTTACTCATATCCTACCTCAAGAGCACCAGAACTGTTCTGCGATACATTTTGAACACAGGAAGTACATTTTATTATCAGTTTTGTATATAGAGGTTACTAACACCTAACATATAATGGGTCCAAAAAAAAAAAAAAGAAAGAAGAAAGTCAATATTATTAGAAATATTGTTATTGGACAACAAACCACTAATTAATTGCCTAATTAACCTAGGTAATACTTTTAATTGCACTTAATTGCATATAATTATGCCTTACAAAACAGCTAGTAAAAAATATATGTAGTGTTATAATTGGCGACGACAAAACAATTTGTGATTAGAAATGAGTTATTTAAACCATTACATTTAAAAAAAAAATATCTTCGTTAAACATCGCTTGGGAAATATTTTTCAAAAGAATAAAAATTTCACAGAAGCAAATAGTGTTATGGTTTCTTAGTTTTAAAAAGTCTGCATTTCCATCTTTACCCAGTCTAGTTCTTCTACTTTCTTGCGGAGCATGCCTGAAATCATACGGATGATATCCCAACACCTCAGATCTCCCGCTTTCTCATAGAGCTCGACTAGCAAACTCTTAACAGTGGTGCCTTTCCCATGCAGCTGAGTGTCCCAGTCCATTCCCCTGCAGGAAAACACACGCTTTCGATTCAATATTAAACAAAACAACAGTGTAGAGGCGTCCATGTTCATTTAACATTTGTTTTAAGCATAATAAGTGACATACTTGTCTTTAAAAAGAATGTAGAGGATGTCTGCCTGATCGTGAAGGCTCTGAGTGTCTTTAAGGACCTGCACAAGACTACTGTAGTCAATGGCACCATGAGTGTCCCGAGGCAGGTTATTTTCAGAGGGCACCACAACTTCTGAACTCTACAGACGTCGAGAAAAAACACATTAAGATTTTTTTACCATCTCGGGTTTTGTTTTACCAAAAGTGTTCACCAAATGTGTATATTTACACACATGATCCGTCCCCAGTCCTGGAAAGTCTTTTAAATTAAGCGCAGGCTGAGGTGAGCGGAACAGCTTATTGGGAAGATACATATGGAGATCTGAAAAAAATAAAACATACAAACAAACAAAAAGCAAAAACTGTAATAAAACAGTAAAAACAGTAATAAAATGGAAATGTACACAGAGAAAGGCATATACCACAAGAAAAGAACATAAAGAGGATAATTTTTGTTTTTTATCCATAAAGTGGATGATATAAAACCCTTCTTTTGTCCTCCATAAAAAAAATAAAAACTCAATACATTAGATTTATTTGAAGGCGAGTATGTGATCACATAATTTGTTTTGGAGAACCATTCCTTCACAGGTGTCAGTATCAGCTATTGTGAACTTCTATTTTGTAATATTAAAAACTATATGGTGGCAACATATACATATACATATACATATATATATATATATATATATATATATATATATATATATATATATATATATATATATATATATATATATATATATATATATACATACATACCAATTTTGCATGTGATAGAGGGGATTAATTGTAATAACTAATAATATTAACTGTATTACAACTTGCTGTAAAATACTAATATTAGTGTGTAACTTAACCATCAGATGTGGTCATGTTTTGATCACTGTTAGTATATTATCTCTTAATAGGACCTAAAATGATGTTATCACATTCAAGATAAAGCAGCTTTTTGACTAAAATATAGCAACAAAAATAAATTTACAGTAGAAGTTCTGTAACAAAGCTCTAATGCATGTAACTAAGAAGACAAAAAACTATGAAGAAGACAAAAAACTAAGAAGAAACAGATACTGGAGTGATAAATATCATCTCACGTTAAGTGTCAGTAAGAAATTCTGACAATATAACTCATGATTTGTTTTACTGTAGAAACTGCAAATGTATTTTATGCTCTAATTTAACATCATTCTGTGATTGCTTTGTTCTATTTGTGTCTGCGTTAACTCTTGCATCTGCTGTTTAAATGTTTTTGCATCTGCTGTTTACAATTGTTTTTTTAATTGTAAAGAATTGAACATTTTTTGTAATGCCGATTATGTGTTATTCATAAAAAACTGTGCAGTTTATTTTGCACAATGAAGTGAATATTATTGATTCATCTCACTGTGGATTTGTAGATCCTTGGCTTTGTTCACAAGAGACACCATCTCACGTGTCTTTGTGGCTGCAGCCTTAAAGCGACTCAGTCCTTTAGCCTCTGCCTCGACTCTGAGCCCCTGGACAGGCACCGCTGCATGCAAAAGCTGGTCCAGGTATTGTGCTAGATCATCTGAATCTGAAAAAAACATGGTTAAGAAGTCAGGATTAAAAAAAGAGAAAGCAATGGGAGGGTGCTTTCATTGAGGTCACAATGAGAGTCGAGTCAATTAAGAAAAGCAGTTTGCAGTCCATCAAACTGAGGTGTTTCGGTGACATTACAGCATACTTTACATGTTTAAAAGCATCCAGAACTGTACATTTCTAAAAATAATAATAATAATTAATTCATTATCAATTTCTCTTCTTACAGGAAACAATACATAAACTTGAAAGGGCACAGCAAAAAATAAAAACCTGAAAAAACATGATGCAGATTTCACACTGCAAGTACAAACAACATTAGAACACATCTTGCAATGATGGTAGAGAAAAAAAAGACTGAGACCATGCAAATTCTCCTTAATGGCCATACTCAAGTGGTTAAAATACATAAACATGTGTACATGGCTAAAATGCAGCCTAGACCTGCAGTAAATGCAAAGATGGTGTGAGGCATGAAACAAGTGTGAGTGACTTAACATGAACCAAAGAGCTTAGAATGACCAAGAGGTGACACTCAATAGAACAATCCATTGCAACAGCATCGCCCAGCAACAGCCCCGGATTCCGCCATTTTGGAGTGAAAGTGATCGGCCGTCCATCCGCTTGTTAAGTGTGACGTCATGCGAAGCGGCTTCCGGGTCCAAGCTCTCTATTCAACTGAATGGGGAGACTCATGAAATGGTAATAATAAACGTTTACAAAGCGATTTAAGGCTTTCGAAAATCACGATCGCAGTATATATGTCCATGCCTAAAATCCAATGGCTAGAAAGTGATTATTTTTTTATAAATTGTTACATTTTTGATATTTGTTATGCAGCAAGACCAGAGATTGTTGTGTACACTATGATTTTATATAAAATTTACTTTAATGTGTGATAGGAATAAAACGTGATCATAAACTAATGATTTCTCCACTCAAATGAATGGCGGCTTGGACCCGAAAACAGTATTACATACGTCACAAACACGTCACCATTTAACAAGCGGATTGGATCTCATTACTGTCACGATGGCAAGCAGCTGCTTTGTTTTTTATTTATTTATTTAAAAAGCGCATTAAAGCTGAGATACAACCTGAAAGAGGACAATACAACACTTACTATCACAATCATCAGCACTTTTATTAGTTTATTTAACAGACTTATAATATGCTGCTGTTCAATTGGAGTTTTCATTCCAAAATGGCTGCTGCGCCTTCTAGTGGCTGTTTACCAAATTACACTAGAGTGTCGCCTCTTGGTCATTCTAAGCTCTTTGCATGAACTAAAATATTAGAACACAAACAGGTCTCATATTACTAACATTATTATTTAATCTGATTCAAAGGGATAATTAAGCCAAACATTTAAAATGTACTCTTTATTTACGCACCGTCAACTGGTTCTAAACCTTTAGTTTCTTCTTTTGCCAAACACTAAAGAAGATATTTTGAAGAAAGCTGGAGACCTGTAACCATTGACCATTCTATAGTGTTTGTTTTTCCTTACAAGTTAACAGCTTTCTTTAAATCATCTTCATCAGTCTTCAAATAAAGAAAGAAACTTAAACAGACTTGGAAGAAGTAGAGGGTGAGTTACGGATTTTCAGTTTTTGAGAAAACTATCCCTTTAAGAATCTTCTAACAAAGCTTCTCTGTCAAGACAGTTTTCCCCCTTACCATCACTGAAGTTCAGGTCATGCACAGCACCTCTAAAGTAGTCATCCTCAACATCATCATCTTCATCCCAGCCCTTATTGGAGCGTGTCTTACCACTGTCCAGAAAGCTCAGGTGAGCACAGCAACACGTAGTCAGAAACTCTGATAACTTCCCAGTCTGCACCCTAACAAAATTAGCAAGTAATTAAGCGACCCTTCAGCTTCAAGACACTGATGACATTTATGTATATCCTCATTATCTGACCTTGCTCCTCCGAAGTACCCATCCTGAAGCTTCTTAAGTGTGGCCAGAACAGCAGGGTCCAAGTCAGTGTGGTCATGGTCTAGGAGGAAATGCATAAAAAACACTAAAGTGAAAAAAAAGGCTGTGCACATCACAGATTGTACATATTTAGATGATTCGACACTGACAGAGGAAGCAGTTTTCACTTACTAAGCATAGTCTGGGAGATGGGAAAAGTGACAGTCGGACGGCCGGTCATCCTCCAACGAGAAGACAGGTAAGACAGGTCAGTGCGCAACATCTCCACAATCATCTTGTTATCCAGGGCCAAATAGAACTGCTGATGATCTATGAACTACATAACAAACCAAGTGATATAAAGCTAATGCACAAACAGAGAATTTAAAAAAAAAACTGCATCTGTCATTCAACATGTCAGTTCTGTCTCACAAACATATTTACTTAACTTCTGCTGGAAGACCAGCAGGGCCTGTCTAGGCCAGTGACCCCCAAAATAACAATGTCAGGGACACGTGACCCTTACTATCCTCAGAGGTGGTTATAAATATACTAATGTTAAATATACACACTAATAGGCCTAAATAAACACAAGCATATTGACAACACAATGACATTCATGTATTTTTTGTAGTAATTTATGAATTTAAGTCAACAATATTAGAACTAATAAGAAACAACGGCACAATGTTTGGTACACAACCAGTACATTACTGGTTTAGTTTTAGAGAGTGCCACTCAAAGATCATCCTCCACATTCAGTGGTCTGTATTTATTTATAATGAGTTATCATTTTCTACATTGTTATACATTTATAATATGTATGTGAGTGCCAAAAAGATTTCAGAAAGCTTATTTTATTATAAGCTTAGTGCTTAAAAAATGTTTAATCTGCTGCAACTAATGGTATTGCTGCATTGTTAATCTAACTAACGTAATCACTCCAGGGGTCGCAAGGAAAAATAATTATAAATAAAAAAATAATAATCGAAAGGCTGTTTTTTTTTAAATTAACAACACATTTTTTTAGGGATATGGACAAAATATGATACTACTAATAGTTTAATAAAATTAATTTCATTTTTAGTAGTCACCAGGCGACCCCCACTATAGGAACTACTGCTCTAGGCCAGCATAAGAACATAATGGAGAACCTGAGGTGTGAAGCTGAAGATGGTGTTCCGGATGATGTACAGCTTTGAGGTTCCCAACACACCGATCCTTCGGTATGGTCTGCCGGTCAGCCCCAGCCTCTCATTGCGCCCTTGAAGAAAGATAGTTTAAATATATTTCATATTACAGGGTTTGTACACAAAGTTTTCCAGCTCTTTCCAACTATGGCAATGTACATATTGACTTACATACATATACATATTAAATCACATTATATCAGATTTTATTTTTTAGAATACTAGGGCTGTGACAAACTATCAATATGCCGATTTATCATGTTATTTATTACCAAGTATCGATACTTATTTCAACATACAAAAGATATCAGTATAATGCAAAAAGTAGAAAGCAATGAATTGGCAATTTAACCATTTCTTGTTTGTAATTTGTTCAAAATTAAGATGCTGTTGCTATGACTAATTTAGAGATGTGACCTTTTTAATCACAAACTGCTCGCTGCACATCAGCATTTTCAGGCTTTTTTGACAGTTGTGCACTTTTTGTGATTCTATAAAATGTGCTGTTAGCAAAAGAAACACATCTTATAACTTTTGATGCATGTATCCCCTTCATTTACAAATATCTTGATATATTGTGAATGGTTTTCTGGTGATAAATCGCAGAATTGCTGATTTTATAATATTTCATTATCAGGGGCAATATATCAGAATAATATCATATATCATAAGTTTCCCTGTGGTTCTCACTCCTATAGTATACTATATTTTACTTTTGAATACTATGATGAAGATTATTGATGGCATGTTTGCCCCAAGCCCAACATTGAATTAATTTACTCTCTCAAATGTAATTTTCTCACATCTTAAATGTGTCATCTGTCATCTTGAATGAATATTTATTTTAATTTCATGCATTTTTCATTCATGAAGTGTTATTCTCTCTGCATTTTGTCAAAAATTGCAGATAAATAAAGACAGGCAGATCAAGCCACAGGCTCCAGATGTTTTATTTTTAGCTAGTTAGTAAATTATTATTACCTATTTAGTAACATAAATGATTATGAAAACAACACAATGACATTTTCAAGCATTTTATCCAAAATCAAAGCACTTCTCAAACCTACTTTTAAATCATTCAAGCATTTCCAAGGATTTCCAGCACCCGTACGAACCCTGATATTAGTGTCAAAAGGAACTTTAAGGTGTTCCACTTCTTACCTAGCCGAGCATAAATGTGGCTGAGAACTCGAGACGGCTGCACTCTTATTGGGTGGATGTCTGCCACTGTCTCCACATCAATCCCATTCTTCTGCAGGAGCGCCTTAATGTCCTCGTTCTCAGCCAGGATGGACACTTCAGGACAAAGCACAAACATCAGGGATCATTTCTACAACAGTGATTCTGCAGGTTTCACCAAGTCTAAAAGTCTTTTAAGGCCATTAAGAAGCCAAATTGCATACTTATACAGGACAAAACGCTAACTGTTTTTTCTAGTAGCCACTGGAAGATTTTTACTAGCCCCATTAAATTTCTAATCAATCAAGTTCCTACATATTTAACATGTTTCTAAACAGGCCAACTAGTTATATAAATATACTTTTGTCAGGTTTTTAAAGGCAAGTCAACTATAATGAACAAAATTTGTGCACAACAGTCTGTCCAGGTCAGTGTCTTCACTGTGTAGCTATAATCACATTGAGAACTTTTATACAAAGGTTATTGTAAGGTTATATAATCCATATTGGTAAATAGAGTTAATCTGCTGATCATTGAGTAACTTTATGGGCCCTTTCATACACCCGACGCAGTGTGGCGCAGTAGTCTTTTGGTAGTTTCAGCTTGGCGCAAGAGTCGTTTTGAGGCGTTGCGCTACGCTGTTTAAATAGCAAATGCATTAGCGCTCATTTGTGCGCCCATAGGTGTTCTGGTCTAAAAAGGAAGGTGTTCTGAGGCGGACCGCTGGCGCGTTGCTATTTTGAGAAACTATAATAGATTTTTCATTAGACCAAAACTAACCCGGTCTAAACTCCGGCGTAGAGTTGCGCCTCGCTTACACACTGCTAAATACCCACAAGAGAGCAATAGGCAAATATCTTTACATATGAAAACATTTAAATATTAAGGATATATATAGTATATAATAAGAATAGATATAGAATATAAATATAAAGGATTAAAATATTACAAAACATATTATTTTCTAGCCTACATAAATATGAAAAATCACTGCTTTTATGTCTTCTTCATCTCGGGAGGCTTTTTCAGTTCATTCATAACAATTTGCTTTTGTATAATGTGATTATTATTAGCAGTATTATTTATTATATCCATATTTATATTTGTTTTATTAAAAACAAGCTTAGATTTGCCCACCTGTCAGGTTTAAGACCATATAGGGCATGGCAGGTGTATTTGGAAATAACTCAGTATTTTGACCACACTTGGTCATTATTGTTCATTTATTCGTTTGCTAGAAATTAGAACTTAATTTAGAAATAGTTTTGAAACAAATCTTTGCACTTAACAAACGAAATTAATTATTTATAGGCTAATTGATGTCTGTGCGTAAAGGTTTCCCTATCCAAGAGCAAAAGTGAAAGTAGATCCATTATCTCTCATTCTCACGCAGTAGATGCTCTGTTTAACATTTTTCTGTTAAAAAATTGTCAACTGTTAACTGTTTGCTTGTGAAATGCTCATTTTTTTCACTTAGACTAACTTTGCGTCCTGTAAATAGCGAATGCGCTCTTGGCGCGACGCAGCTGGCTCTTAAAAGGAATGGGAGATGAGACTCTAATTGGTTTATTCTCAAAACACACCTATAACTCATTAAGAAAATAAACTCAACCCTTTTAGACCATTCGCCTTGGCGCAAGGCAGATTTCCCGTCCTTAAATTAGCAAAAACGCGTCCTGACACGCCCTGAAAGCGTTTGTGCCCTGCGTTTTGCGCTCTGCGCATGGACCGTCAAAATAGAGCCCTACATGTACAAAGGAAAATTAAGACCTGTTTAAAATGATTTAAGACCTAGAGTACAACACCATATTTTAGTCCATTTTTAGGCCTAACATTTTGTTTTTGAAATTTAAGACATTTTAAGACCCTGCGCAAAGCCTTTTAACAATGAACTACATCAGCCACTTAAGTTTGAGTGCTACTTATTGAGCATGTTGAAAAATACCTTGCACAACAACATCTGGTTTAGGGATGGCAGAGAACCTGCGGTTTAGGGGGTCGATCTCTCCAGGAGCCAAAAAACCCTGAAATGGAAAAAAAAGACAGAAGAAGTTGCTTTTTCATAATGCCTCATTAATAATTATTTAGCAAAACATTGGGAAAGATGTGACTTAAAACCTCTAACCTCTGCCAACAGGTTGCCCAGAACGTAAAGGGACTGGCCCCACTTCAGAGGGCACTTTCCCAACGGGATCCTCTCCACCGTGTGAGGATTAACATACTCCTCATCCACCTGAAGTAATAGAGGAAATTACAATATCAAAAGTATGAAAAGAAAAGCCACTCCATCCCTCTTTTTTCTTTCTACAACAAGGTGCAAAATGTTAGATGTAACATTGTTATTTACAAAATTGTGTATTTTGAGTGATCGTATTGTGTAGGGTCGTATAGTGTGTTACACCCAATATGTTGTGTTTATTGTGGTATAAAAAAAATAATCAAGAAAAGTAATTAAATAAAAAGTATTTAAAAAAAAAAGAATTAAATCAGTTTTTAAATTGTTATTTAATCTGGATATTTCACCCCAGATCAGATTTATTTAAAAAAAATGATCAGTTTTAATGGTTTTGAAAAGGTCTCTTACCTTCTCAGGAGGAACACTGTAGAGCTCAGGCAGCAACCGAATCCCATCTTTCTGTTTGATTAGGATACCTTCCAGAGCTTCTCTGTACTCCTCAACCTTAGAAGACAAAAATGTAGAAATATAGTCTGGCACATCTGATACACAATAATCCTTGCCCTTGAGTCAGTATCTGTATGTCTACAAATTTAGGCAACTAACAATAAAACTACACGGGGGCTAATTTAGGTATGGGCAATATGGGTGATCGCCCAGGGCTGCATCTTGCTGGGGGCGGCACGGGGAGACGATGCAAAACAAAACAAAAAACAAAAAAACGTGCCCCAGTAAGCTTTGAGATACAATTTACTTTATGAAAGTGTTATAAAACACGTTAGGGGACATTCACATTTGGCATCTTTTGCACACGCAGGTTTGTTATTCTTTATGTGCAAACGAAACAACGCTGGTGAAAGCAAACTGACACATGCGCACAGAAAACCATTCCTGAGTGCCTTGCTGCTCCTGCTCTTGTTTACATGCACGCCGATAAAATATGCGCCACTCATGCGCTGTTAAACTGGAGTAAAGGCCTTTTCTGTTACTTTTATGACACAAGGTGTCGACAAACAGCGAGTTTTGCAAGTTGACAAAACTGAAGCTTATAATATGAGGACGATCCTATTCCGACTAAGCATGGCTATATAGGCAGAAAGGAGGAATAGAGTCAGGGAGGTAAGAACTAATAACATTAATTCCATTAATTCTCTGCCTTGAGTCGGGTCTAAAATGAACAGATATTTCTATATAAAAAAAAATTATTCTATAGATTCATCATAATTAATGTTCATGCAAAATATTTCTTAGGTGATTTTAGCATATCACTCCAGCTTTGTCTTTACATTGTGTTCCAGGTACATTTATGATTGTTTTCTGTTATTTATTTAGAATAATGAGTGTGTAATAATAATAATAATATTATTAATAATAATAGTATTATTCCGGCGGTGTTGTGGTTTTGAGGAGCGTATATGGGGTGATTTGCCCAGGGTGCCATTTAAGCAAGAACCGCCACTGGAACAACATATGCAAGACATGCCAAGACACAAACAAAAACATTGACTTCCATAGCATGTTTTGTTCTTGCTATGGGTGTCAATAGTTATTTTTCATAACAACAAAAGTCGTTCAACAAAAGTTTAAAACCACTTTAGCGTGAGTAAATGGTTTGGAAATGTTCATGCTAGTGATATTCTAACTCTCTATAACTATTTTGACCCAAACTCTGTTTTTTTAATCTTTAAATCTGTTTCACGGCCATACTCATTTCGTTTTTAATTTAACTAGAAAAAGTACCTGCTCTGGACTGTTGATAAAGATGCCATCCAAGATCAGGTAGGTCCAGAAAAGTGGCCACTCGCATTCAATGTTTTCAAAAAGCTTCAGCTCGGCAGATTCATAATACAACCTGTTTGGGTCCTATTGGAAAAAAAACAGATACATTAGCAGTTACACATTTAATTATTTCTGTTATAATACTAAATACTAGATGCTAAATAATGTCTAAACTACATAAATATAAACTATAATAAGAAACTATTATTATACAGTTGACGGATTTTCTAATTTGTTGATCTATCACATATACTGACCTCTTTAGGAGTTTTGTGGCCATCTCTTAAAAACCGACAACAGCCGTATCTTCCCTAAAGACAGAAAGATTTGCAAGCATCTAAAAATAAGCCATGCTAGTGTGAGAACCAAGCAGCTGTTCAAAACAAGTTCCTCATGTCGGAGATCAAGAACTGACCTGGAGCTTGGAGATGATTTCCTCTTTGGTGATATTGACTAGCTCCATGTCTTCCACTGCAAAGGCTGGATATGAAATAATAGACAGAAGCCCGGCATCCACCTCTTTGGATGTTGAAGCTCTGGGCAACATGGAGTTCAGAATAGACTGGGAAAAAAAATGTGTGGTAGTAGGAACATAGTACTTTTGTTTTCAAATGTGCAAATTATTAATATTTTACTTCGTAAACAAAAAACAGAGTGGGCTAATCACAATAGCCCTACCTGACAGTGCTGGATATCATCTGCTAAGACATGAACCACAGAGTCCGGTCCCCCTTTGGCCCCAAACAAATTCAAGTCATCTAGGGCTTCAAGGGCTGCCTGTGTTAACAAAAGGTTCATTCAGGGGCTGTTACAGTATTTTGTCCTCGCCACAATCTCAGTTCAATGCTCACAATACAGCTAGTATTCATTCACTGTGCATTGAATTCTAGGGCTACAAACTACCAAATATAAGAGATTACATTTATAATTTTGATTACCGAGCCACATTTCAATTTTTAACACAGATTCAAACCAGTTCAAGGTTAAAATTTAGGTTAAGAGCCAGTTCCCTGCCCTTGGATTGGTACTCTGTCTTTTGACAGAGAAAGAACAACCAGAACCATTCTTCTAGGAACAAAGTGTCACAAGAGGAACAAATAGAAATGACACAAGCTGGCAGGGAAGGAGCATTAATACCAGAGAGGCCATGTTGAGGTTACATTGGATCATGTTCACCGGCTACGTTAATAGACAGTGCTCATGTGCGCACAGTTTGAAGCCCCCTCCATCATGCCAGTCTGAGAATTCCCAGCTGCTTAGTGGAGAACGGACAACATTAGCTGGAAGTGTCTGTTAGAGAGAGAATGATAAAAAGGGAACCTTTGATTTGTTTGTTTGTTGTGTTTCAGTGGACTCACTTTAGCCATCCCAATTGAGCTGGCATTGAGCTCAGGGATGCCCTGATTTGTTTTGTCTCCTCTCTCCCACATCCCGTAGTCCTGAAAAATCATGAAAGAAAAAAATCACATACAGAAGCTCTCCAAAAACAATGAATAATAATTATAATTCTTCAGTGTTATTGATTTACGACCCCTTTAGCTTCCAGTAACTGCTTGCTTATCTTTCTGAGGTTCACAATCCTCAAATCAAACCACAAAACCATGTACAGTTAAAACTAGAATTATTAGCCCCCCTGTTTATTTTGTTCTTCAATTTCTGTTTAACGGAGAGATTTTTTTTTCAACACATTTCTAAACATAATAGTTTTAATAACTAATTTTTCTAATAACTTTTTTTTTTATCTTTGCCATGATGACAGTCAATATTATTTTACTATATATTATTCAAGACACTTCTATACAGCTTAAAGTGACATTTAAAGGCTTAACTAGGTTAATTAGGTTAACTAGGCAGGTTAGGGTAATTAAGCAAGTTATTGTAAAACAATGGTTTGTTCTGTAGACTATCGAAAAAATATATATATAGCTTAAAGGGGCTAATAATTTTGTCCCTAAAATGGTGTTTAAAAAATTAAAAGCTGCTTTTATTCTAGCCAAAATAAAACAAATGAGACTTTCTCCAGAAGAAAAAAATATTATCAGACATACTGTGAAAATTTCCTTGCTCTGTTAAACATAACTTGAGAAATATACAAAAAAGAAAAATAATTCAATGGGGGCTAATAATTCTGACTTCAACTGTATGTCAATTATAATCCTTTATATGGTTTCTATAACACTGATGGAAACACATTTAAAAATATAAAACATAAATCATTAAAAATGTCAAAGCTAGCAGCCTATTATAGATCCTGCGAGACTTACAGCCACTTTGTATGCAGCTTCAATGTAGAAGAGCAGATTCTGGACCACATCCACCTCGTCTTGAGTGTACACTATGTGCAGCCCTAAATGAACAAAAGACCCAGGATATGTGGGAGAAGTTCTGACATTGCTAGGCTACAGCTTCAACAGCCAATCAGATACCAGGACTTGCAGGGTTAGTTCTCTAAAATAAAATTATGTTATTAAATTCTCTGAGAGCTCCTTTATCCTCCATAGACAGCGACATGATGTTTAAAGATGTTTAAAAGTCCAGAAAAATACCACAAAAAAGAAATGCTGACTGCAGACCATATTTCTTAAGTGGTTCAATCGGAATATTATGAAGCTAAAAGAATACTTCTGTGCACACATAAAACAAAAATAACTTTATTCAACAGTTTCTTCTCCTCTGTGTCAGTATAGGCCATGTGTTCATGAGAGTGTTGTACTCTGCATCACACTCGGTTGCCTGCTGATATATTACCTCAGATGCGCCAGTGCAGTGCTTGTGAATGTTTTTCTGGGTCGGGACATCACTGTACGAGGAGAATGAAAGAGCTTTCAGACTTCATCTGAATCATTTTAAATTGTGATCTGAAGATAAATAACAGGGTTTGGAACAACACTAGGGGGAGTTATAAATAAATCACATTTTGGGTGAACTAACCCTTTATGCTTACTTTTGTTAAAAATGTGTACAAATGCACAGGCCACATGATTATGAGGAAAAACTGTAATTGTTGGTTAGATCTCTTTAAGAAATGCACTGTCAATTTATGACCCACTTGTTCCACATGCATAAGATGTTCATTATACATACACATTAGGTACATAAATGAGCTTACAGCTGCTCAAGAACTATGACTACAGTCAATTTATTGTCTTAGCTACATTTACTCTCCCTCAAGGGGTTATAAGCCTTTATGAGCTTCTTTCTTCTACTGACCACAAATTATATTTTGAAAAAAGCTCAAAACCTGTAACCCTCTGACTTCCATAGTAGGAAAAACAAATACTATAGAAGTCAATAATTACAGGTTTTATCATAATATCTGCTTTAGAGTTAAACAAAGAAAGAAAAAGGTTTGGAACAAGTGAATGATGATTAAATGATGGCCGAATTTTCAGTTTTGGGTGAACTATTTCTTTAAGTCATGTTATGTGAGCTTTAGAGCAAAACCTGATGTACCTGAGGCAGTCATCTGGGCTAGGAAGAGCATGTATAGGGAGGTGGCGTCGAGCTGGAGATGCCCCCATTCCCGGTCACCCACAACAGTGGCACAGGTTCGAGTGTTATACTTGGCGTGGAGGCTGTCCAAAGCGCTTTTACTGTATTTGAATTTCTCCACTTTGTCCAGCTAAAGAGGTAAAAGTTTGAAATGAAGTAAGAACACTTCAGAGTACATACTGTAAGAGCACTAAGAGGTTTACAGAGGAGGAGTGTGCTATAAAGTGCAACACATGCAATGTATAGAGAAAATTGGCTGTTTAATATCTTCCTACTATGCCCAGGGCCGGATTAACGGAAAGGCTAGGTGAGGTTGAAGCCCCAGAGCCCACGGAAGAAGGGGGCCCTAGATTGTCTGAAGAATTAATTTGCGATATGACATGAGAAATGCCTCTTTGCTTTATGCTTCCTCTGGTCGATAATGTGAAGTATTTCCTTTTGGTTCGCTGCTGTTAAAAAAAAAAAAAAAAACTGGATCTCAGAGTGGCTGTAGCCCAATCAGAATATTGAATAGCTCTGTTTTAGTCACCAGTAAGTGTGATCAGATGTGCCAATTTTCCCAGGACAGTACCTTATTTCGGCTACCGCAAGAACCATCCTGTCAAAGTTAGGCTAATCAAGCTCGCAGTGAAACAAAAAATACAATTTGAACAGTCTCTATCATTGATATACTTGTACGTATATGTACTAAAAGAAGCTGAAATAGGCAAAATCATACTGAATGGACTCATAGCGCAAGCACTATCTCAGCCGCGTGGCAATTACAGCTGGACTCAAACCGGTGCGCACTCACATAATCCTTTCATCACACAATATAACCGAGACAGTGAGCAAACAAATCAAATAGCCTACACAAGCAGTTATCAAAATACATCCATCAGTGAGTAGTATCTATCTCAAGTAAATACACTTGGTTATGCTTTACGGTAAGTCTAACTGAACCAGTTAGAAAGTAAATTTTTTTTATGAATGTTTACTTTGCCTTTTTATAAAAACGAGAGCAATAATATGAAGCAATGAAATATTGGCGCTGACTGTCATTAGACAATATGCTAAATTTATATTATAATAATAATCAAATATAAATGAAATGGTGGAAAATTAGATGATAATATTAATTAGTAAATTAATAATAATAATAATAATAATAATAATAATAAAAACAATAACAATATATGGATTTTCTTTAGCCCCAGGGCCCAATGTGCTCTTAATCTGGCCCTGACTTTGCCCCAATGTATCGGATGTTATAAGTTATCAGCTAATTAATTTTAAAGCTACTAGAAAAAATATGAAAAAGTTCAAAAAAAAAAAAAAAAAAATCGAATAAAAAATAAATAAATATAATCCGTACAAAAAATCAGACCGGCATCTAATATATATAGAATATAAGATGGCATTGGTGAAGCAACTGGTGTGTTTAAATGTGGGTACAATACCATTGGTTACTTATGGCTAAAATGTCTGCAAAATGTATAATTTACATTCAGCAACAGCAACAGCACTGGCTCTATTTTATTATAACTTGAATAAACTTTTATTTTGAATAGATTAAACAAACAAGTTATATGTTATTTCAAATAATGTTTTAAAAGGAATACCTAATGGTAAAAATCACATTTGAAGACTGTCATTTGATATATATATTTATCTTAACTTGTGCCACTTTTAAAAAGCTGAATGGTTGGTTGATTGTTAAATGGATCTAATCCATCATGTTCAGTAAATTAACACTGAAAAACTGGCTAGTAGTACTGTATGCAATTGACCAATATGATTATCAGAATCAGCTTAAAGTTTTTTTTTTTTTGATAATCTGTGTCAGACTAAAAAAATCCTATCATGCAACCCTACTTCCCATTGTATCTATCTATGTAGTGTGTCAGGTGAGTGAGACAATGGTTGACAGTACCTGTCTCATAATGCATTGAAGAACTCCCCTCATTAACTTCACCACACTCTGAAATGAGAAAAAAAAGATATCAGGATACACAGACTGCCTCCAAAAACAACACTTGGAACACAGGCTCAACTGCGACCTTTCGGCTCCTGATTTAATAGCACAGGAAAATGTAACATGACACTTTTGAGCCCTCTGTAAAGAGATGGCTTAGATACACTGATCCATAAACAGTAGGAATCAAACGACAACTGACCTTTAAAAGATGCACAGATGTAAATGATACATTACAGTGGTGAACAATATGATATGGCCTCTAGTCCAAGATCAAGCAAATGTCATTGAAACATGTAGTCTAGTTTGCATGTACATTTCTCTTTAACAAATGTTGCTACAGAACAAAAATCTTAAACTTTTAAAGGCACAGTACATAGTTTTACCACTAGAGGGTGCGTATTCACAACAAACAAGGATGTAATTTAACCCTTTTACGCGTGAGTTTTAAATACTCCAGCTGACTCTCCTGCATGAGTTTTTTGTTACCATTACTTAGAATCCATTGCGTTCTAAAGTACACACACATCTATCTATCTATCTATCTATCTATCTATCTATCTATCTATCTATCTATCTATCTATCTATCTATCTATCTATCTATCTATCTATCTATCTATCTATCTATCTATCTATCTATCTGTGTGTGTGTGTGTGTGTGTGTGTGTGTGTGTATAGATAGATAGATAGATAGATAGATAGATAGATAGATAGATAGATAGATCAAATGTTATGAATATATTGTGAAATTTCTCCAATATGTGATAAAAGATATATTTTGTCTTTAAAAAAGCTTAATAATGATCATATTATTAATATTATATGATGGGTAATGGACACTGCCGTTGTTGCTAGAAGGGATACAGCTGCGATTGGAAGATCTATCTAGACTTCACCCTCTACCCTCTAGATGGGGTACAGCTGAGGATCCTCACATCAATATAGCATCATTTTTGTGACCCTATACAACAAATAATATGTTTACATTACTGTGAGGGTTGGGTTTAGGTAGGGGTAGACGCTATTATACAATTCCTGCATAAATTAATAAATAATACAAATACATTTTCCTCTAGTGTGATCGTACGCTTCAAGGACCAACCAATGCAGATCACACCGGTGTGATCGTATGCGTGAAAGGGTGAGTGACATGGAGTGAAATCATGGGAGTTGTCATCTTCATTACAACCTACGGCAGGGATTCTCAACCAGTGGGCCGCGGCCCACTAGTGGGCCTCAGTGATCCTGCGGTTGGGCGCAAGATAGCTTAAAATTAACTTTAATATTATACTATAATTTTTTTATTTCATTATTAAATATGTCATATTAAAATAATAGTAGTAATGGCATTTCCTGTTTTCTGAGATTGGATTGAACAGGCCAATTCGGACTATAACTTCTCAGTTGTATAAAGCAAAGTCATGCAAAAGTAAACTTAACGATGATTAGTTATATAAACCAGCTCGCATGTGCCTCATGTCTGCGACTCATAGTGTTTCAGAGTCGCACAAGTCCATTGATTCACAAACTGTGCGTGCTCTCTTTTTAAAACACTTTAAAATATCTGCATAGTTGTCCAAATTAACGTCTTGCGAGAGTTTTATAACTGACGCGTGTTCGCACAGGCCAATAATGTCTAGCTACAAACCAAACCACTTCCAGATCGATGTGTTTCAAAAGATTTAGAGGGTTTTTACTGTATTTTACATTTAGGGTTAGGTTGCTTATTTTAATGGATATAGATCAATAGATTAATAGAAGTCAGTCTAATTCAAAGCATCAGCAGTTTTTTTTTTTTTGCCATCTCCTGTAGTCCTGTCAGGTTCTTTTACTGAAGTAAAAAATTCAGGAGCTTTGAACCTGTCTGTGTGTTTTTTTTTATCTTAAAATATATATTATTACATTTTATATTATAAATATTTATACACATGCACAATGTTTACATTTTTTTATAAAATGATGTAGAAAAATAAGAGAATAATAGAAGGCAAAATAAATGTTTTGTTAATAAATAAAGCTTTAAAATAAGCATTTTCTCTAGACAAGTCAGTTTGGGCCATAAAAAAAAATTTTCGGAGAAAAAAAGTGGGCCTCGAAGTAAAAAAAAGTTGAGAACCCCTGTCCTTTGGGGTAAATCATGTCTATTGATGAGCTAAAGTATTCAGAAGGTATTATCATGGTAGTATGAAGCAGAATAAGGCTGAGAAAAAAAACGAGACTGCTGAAGTATTTGCTGATGAGAGACGAGAGTGACAGCATAAAAGCAGTGGAGCTTTCACTACACCACAGTCAACCACTTCCAGTTCTTCCATTTGTGATCATGTAAGGAAGTAGCATCAGCACCTTTTTAATCAAACCATGAAATATGTTCTGTTATAATGCTGCTCTGTGAAGTCTGATCAAATTCACAGAATTTAATGTCTTTGGTGTTTCCCTTTTCTGTGTAAAACTTAACAGGACATTGAGGGTTTATGACACCAATAGCATGGCCATCCAAGACAGTGTCTGTGTCACTAGTTAAAATGGCTTATTTGAACATTCTCTAAAACATTTGGGATAATGCAAGCACATTATACTGCAAAATATATAACACTGCTCTAGTGGTTCATGGACATTTTAATAATTAAAAATTTACATATTGTGCCTTTAACATGTGAACATCTAGAAGCAATCGCAACACAAGCATACTGTTTGTACCTGCTCGAGCTCGTAGGCTTTAGCCTTGTCTTCATCACGATCTGCATTTTTCCTGTAAGCCAGACTAAGAGCCCAGACCGACAGGATGCTGTAAACATTGTCTCTCACCCAGGCATCAGGCTGCTCCTTGCTTGCTGGCAACAGACCAGTCACTGGATCCTGCAAGTTATTTAAAATGAGCAATATCTAGATGATTCATCAGCTCTGTCACTGCTTCAGGTACTATTACATGCATCTAATCAATAAGTAAACATCACTTTCCCCATCACAAACGCGAACCTACTGCATACAGAAAACTAGATACTATGTACATTTATATTTAGCAGATGCTTTTGTCCAAAGTGACATACAAATGAGGCATTAGGTGATTCTAAATGAAGAGGCAAACAGCACACACAGGAAGTGCTACAGTACATATACAAACGAACTGGTATTAGTGAAATAAGAGCTTGAGTAAGGAGGGAGAGGGGAAGTGTATGTGTGTTTTATGTAAAAGTGTTTGGTGTTTGTAAAAAAAGAAACTATAGAAATCAATCATTTTAATTAGCAAGGGTGATTTAAATTGATCATAAGTGGTATTAAAAAACAACTTAAGGTTACAAAGGATCTTCAAATGAATGCTGTTCATTAGTAGTTCTTGAGAAAATGACTAAGCAATAACTGTTTTGATGATAATAATAATAAAGGTTTTGTGATTTGCAATACTATTTTTTCACAATACTATGGTTTTAGTTGTTTTTGATACAATCAATGCCACATCAAAAACATTTTTACTGAAATTTTGAAACAGTCACATTTATTTTCAATGGTATTTATGATTGTACATTGCTAACCATATTACACTTATAAGTTGTTGTTTGATTATGTCAAATATTTCAACTGCATTTAAAATCAATTATATATATAAAAAAAAAACATTAGTTTTCACCTAAATGAATAAACCCTTTCTAGGTTTTTCTGAGTAGGCTTGTATTTTACAGTTCTGTAAAAATACTCAAAAATGTATCCGTCAATGTTTTCAAACAATTGTATTTGATTTACCAAAAGTCACACAAATGTCAATTTCACATCTGCCACATTCATAACAAAGAGATGTCACATCCATAACCAAGCTTTTTCCTCATGAATGCAAATAATTAAAAAAATACATGATTTTTGTTCTATAGAGAGCAACGCTTATCCTTTTGATTAGCAGTTTTTTGGGGGGTTGTACAGTTTAATTTTACAGAATTTCTACAAAGTGTGTTGTAGACTGTAAACTTACAAACTTAGGGCTCTATTTTGACGGTCCATGCGCAGAGCGCAAAACGCAGGGCGCAAACGCTTTCAGGGCGTGTCCGAACGCATTTTTGCTAATTTAAGGACGGGAAAATGCGCTTTGCGCTATGGCGCATAGTCTAAGAGGGTTGAGTTATTTTGTTAATGAGTTACAGGTGTGTTTTGAGAATAACCAATTAGAGTCTCATCTCCCATTCCCTTTTAGAGCCAGCTGCGTCGCGCCATAAACGAATTCACTATTTACAGGACGTAAAGTGAGTCTAAGTGGAAAATCTGAGCATTTCACAAGCAAACAGTTAACAGTTGACAGTTTTTAACAGAAAACTGTTAAACAGAGCATCTACTGCGTGAGAATGGGAGATAAAGGATCTACTTTCACTTTTGCTCTTGGATAGGGAAACCTTTACGCACAGACATCAATTAGTCTATAAATAATGAATTGCGTTTGTTAAGCTCAAATATTTGTTTCAAAACTATTTCTAAATTCAGTTCTAATTTACAGCAAACTAATAAATGAACAACAATAACGAAGTGTGCTCTAAAACCTGAGTTATATCCTAAAACATGCTGTGCCCCATATGGTCTAAAACCTGACAGGTGGGCAAATCTAAGCTTGTTTTTAATAAAACAAATATAAATATGGATATAATAAATAATACTGCTAATAATAATAACATTATACAAAAGCAAATTGTTATGAATGAACTGAAAAAGCCTCCCAAGATGAAGAAGACATAAAAGCAGTGATTTTTCATATTTATGTAGGCTAGAAAATAATGTTTTTTAAAATTCTAATCCTTTATATTTATATCCTATATCTATTCTTATTATATCCAATATATATCCTTAATATTAAAATTTTTCATATGTAAAGATATTTGCCTATTGCTCTCTTGTGCGTATTAAGCAGTGTGTAAGAATGAATGAAATGAAAAATCTATTATAGTTTCTCAAAATAGCAACGCGCCAGCAGTGTGCCACAGAACGCCTTCCTTTTTTAGACCAGAACGCCTATGGGCGCACATCTGAGCGCTAATGCATTTGCTATTTAAACAGCGTAGCGCAACGCCTCAAAACGACTCTTGCGCCAAGCTGAAACTACCAAAAGACTATTGCGCCGCGTGTATGATAGGGCCCTAAGTCTCATCTATAATGCTTGTATGGAGTCAATCTAGGGCTGTAGTTGTGTTGAAGTGTTGAGCAAAAATAAATTAATTAATGCAAATGTCCAAAAAACTTGTAAAATTGAAAATTAATTTTTGAGAAATAAAAATGTTATTTGCTGACAAAAAAAACAGCAAATAAAAAAATGAAAATATTTGCAATTAAAAAAAAAATATATATATAAAAACTGTATAAACTATATAACTTGTGTGTTTATGGCAGGCCCGACCCACTGGGCTGTACCTCACGATACTGTATCTCGAGGTGATGTTGTAGCTTATAGAAGCAGGTGTTTTATTATACATTATATATATATATATATATATATATATATATATATATATATATATATATATATATATATATATATATACATAATTGTTTTTTGTTTTGTTTTTTGCACTGCTTGATTTTTATTTGCAGTTCTTTTTTTGTTTGCAAATTTAATTTTTATTTCTGAATACTTAATTTTCCCTTTGCAGTTCTTTTTTTGTCAGCAAGATTAATTTTTATTTCTGAAAAATGTATTTTCACTTTGGGATTTTTGCACATTTGCATTTGTTTATTTATTTTTCGCTCAATACTTTATTTTTATTAGCAAAACTTTCGTTTATTTTGCAAGTATATATGGCGCTAGATTGACTCCATAAGCTAGCTTATTTTCCTAATTTAAAACATAAAAAATGTTTACTGATTGATATTTTTCTGATGCCATAACTCTGTGGATGGTTTTGGAAAATATGAACACAAGTTTCAATAGAATGTTAACAGACTTTATATGTGAATTTATGTTTTGAATTTTTACTGCAAATGTAACATACATATGAAGACAGTATACAGAAACAGTTCACACATAAGAACTTAAGTGTGTGAAAGCACATTAGAGAAAACAAACTATAGAAGCACCAGTTCGTGTAGAAATGCACTCACTTGATGACGCAGAATAGTCTGATGAACTATCCGCGCGTAGTTGTCAAGTTTAACTCCAGAGTTGCTGCGACTCCTCATTTTAGTTCCAGTGTAGTTTACGAAACACCTTTATACTTTAAAAACCGTCAACATCCTCCTGCAGTAAACAAACATGGGCATGAACAAGCGGAGTCAAGCTGGACGAATCTGAAACCAAGTTGTCAAACGGCTGCATGGTGCGCTGCGTGACCAAACACTGTAAACTACTGTCACCAGTGTTCACAAAACCTGCTTCGACTAAAAGTTCCCCTGAATAAAAACAAACCTGATCAAGTAAGGGCAAAATCCGGAAGAAAACTAAATTAGCTACTACTCGTGCACAGCACACTGGCGATTATACTGAAGCCAGTTACAGGCAACTGGGAGGATCTTCCGACTTTTCAAAATAACACCAGTGTGCTCAACTTATATGTAATGTATGCAGTACGTTCATTGCAATACACATTTAAAAGGAGAGTTTGTGAATTAGAATGAAAACCTGCTTGGAGAGATGGCTTAAGGTCGAAAAACTTAAACCTTAAAGATTGTTACACAGCTAGCTAAATTACAGAGGACGTCATGTTCTTGACGTCATGCTGGACGGACCTGCGTTCAAATGCACTTATTTAGTCAGTGCTACTCTGTATTTATTTGGCGTCTTGTGAAAGCCACCCATTTTTTATTTTAATTTAGTTTATTTATTGTTTAGTTATTTTGGTTTGAACTTATCTTAATGCTGGTTTTATGTAATTTTCATTTGCAAATTGAAAATAGAATTAATTGGTAAGACATAATATAGCCTTATTTAATAATTTTGTTTTGCACAAAACAGATATTTTGCGATATATTTTTAAATATAAAAATGAGAGTTTGTATGTTTTTATTATTATTATTATTATTTTAATAGCCTAACTAGTGTGCAATAATTTATAACCTTTAAGTTATAATGTAAAACCTTTAAAAACGATAAAACAATTAACAACTAAATTCCACAGCATTATTATTTGTAGTAAATTTACAAAAGGCTTTGATTTAAAACAAGACACATTGGCCTATTAAATAATATAAAATTTGAATATATTTTGTTGCTTATTAAAAACCAAACTTGATAGAGGGCAGTGTGCCCAATATATCAAGCTGTATTACAAAGTTTCCTTGAATGTTTTTTTTTGCTTGTTTATTTAAAAATAAATAGGAAACATTACTTTATTCATATAAACTAATCCATTACATATTTTTACATTTTATAATGAACCTATTGTAAGGATTACATGAGAATTTCTTTATAACACAATGGAGTGTGTAATGCTGAATACACTAGTCAAGCTAGTGCCTTGCTAGTGCCTTGATTTACTCAGTGAGGGCTTCAGAATTGTGCTCTATCTGCTGAGCAACAGCATGTTCATTTAAAAAAAGGATTAATTTAAAACATTCAACTGAAACATTTAATTCAAGTTAGCCGTTTTGTAGGTTTAAAAATAAAACAAACAAATGAAATCTTATGTTAAATTAGAAATGACAATGTGTAATAAAAACATAAACCCCAACTCTTCCCAAAATTCTTCCTCTCTTCTCAGATGGGATGGCGGGCTAAATCAAAGGCTACAATGGATCAACTTTGGGCCACGGGCTCTAGTTTGAGCATCCCTTACATAAATTGACCAAAAGTACAAGATGCATTTCTTTTTTAAAAGTAGCATAATTTAATCGAGGTCGACATGGTGGCTCAGTGGTTACCACTGTCGCCTCACAGCAAGAAGTTTACTGATTCGAGTCCTGGCAGGGTCAGTAGGCGTTTCTGTGTGAAGTTTGCATGTTCTCCCCATGTTGGCGTGGCTTTCCTCTTGGTGCTCCGGTTTACCGCACAGTCCAAAGACATGTGGTATAGGTGAAATGAATAAACTAAATTGGCCATAGTGTGTGTGTGTGTGTGTGTGTGTGTTTGTGTGTGTGAGAGAGAGAGAAAGAGTGTGTATGGGTGTTTCCCTGTAATGGGTTGCAGCTGAATGGTCATCCCCTGCGAAAAACTTCTGCTGGATAAGTTGGCGGTTCATTCCGCTGTGGCAACCCCTGATTAATAAAGGGACTCAGCCAAAGGAAAACGAATGAATGAATGATTTATTTGAGAATTGATGCACTCATGTCCACTAAGTGGCAGCATAGTAACATCATGGGACTGATCTTTAAAATATTAAAAATTAATTAAAAGAATAATCCTTTTGTCTCCTCTGAATTTGTTATAATAATCAGATTTTTTTATCCTCATTTTAGAGTTTTTTTTTTTTTTTGTAAATTCTCCCTGCTTATCACACATATGATGATTTTTTAGGAATAGGCCTAATATTTTCTTGTTTAACAAAAATATGACTTTATGTTAAATTTGGAAGAAAATAGTCATGAGTGCGGTGTGGGTTATACTCCTGCTTTCTGGCCAGCAGTTGTGCACTGAACCCTGGCTCTGTGGAATCCAGAGTCACTCAGACCGTGCATGAACATGTCAAGAGCCAAACTGTTGCCCATAATCATCACAGCTAAACGTCACCACAAGACTTCATATAGGCATGTTCTCTTATATGTCAGGTCAACTTAAAATGCTCACAAAAAATACTCTTTTGAAAGGTTTTGTTCTGTTATTTGTTGAACAACACTGATTTATTTGTTTCTCTGAGTGTCCAATCTGCACTGCACATGCTTGGCTAACCTCACTGAAGTCTGGGTCTGCCATATCAGTCAAATGGCCGCTGTGTGCCGTGTGCGGATCTCTGGTCTCAGTTCATAAACCCTGAGGCTTGCGTGACAAATCTCTGACAACGACAAAGGTCCAGCTTTTCAGGCCAAATCCACAAATGTATTTTCAAATGCACCAGATTGAACTTTTACTGGAACCACTGCTGAGAAATATGCTAGCAAACTGCAGTTACTTGCACAAATGTAAAGTTTATGACAAAGGAGGCAATTTTCTCAGTACAAATTTTTATTTCAGAACCCAAATGTTCACTCATATGAAACATGCACATTTGTGACCACAAACCAGTCTTCTGTTGCAGCAATATATATATATATATATATATATATATATATATATATATATATATATATATATATATATATATATATGGGAATAGCCAGAAATACATGAAAAATTAACAATTATGCTACACGTCTTTACAATATTAAGTAAAGATCATCTTAACAAGATCATGTTTCTTAAACAAAGAATATGTTTTATTGTAAATCTATCGAAACTCAAACAAATTTGCACTTTAAAGGCCATTTTGTCAATATTTAGGCTTTTTTTTTGGACCCTCAGATTGCAGATTTTCATACCTCGATGTAAGGCTAATCTATTCAGCTTTCAGATGATCTATGAATCTCGATTTCCAGAAACTGACACTTATGACTGCTGGTGTTCATGGTTCATGGTCACATTTATAGTTACAGTACCGTAAATATATAAATCATATAGTGACTGATACAGAGTCTGATACATATAAAAGACTTTAGATAAACTGCTGAGTCATACAAAAACAGAGATACAATAAATAAGTAATCCAGTATTGAAACGATCTTGAGCCATAGGTGTAGACATTGGTGTATAACAACATAAATAGTGACAGGTAAATGAGTCTTAAATTAAACTCTACAAACGTGAGCACACAGCCAAAGGGTGGAGGCAAATGGTTAATAATATCTAGGTGCAATCAATAATGGTAACCTTTGCACTTTCTCTGTCCCCTTTCTCTCTTTGGTTCAACGACATTTGGGTTGAGCTGAAGCACTGCACAGTTTTTACGCTTGCTTACACTTGCATTTATAGCTTCAACGTAACATGATCTAATACTACATTCCAGTTTCCATGTTTGGATCAAGCTTAGTCCTGAGATGGGCAGTGAGTTGCGAGAGCCGTACTTTACTCCGTGTACATCCAGGACACAGACTGGACTTAATCTGGTGGAGGGAAACTGGCCCAAAATCACATAAGAAGAGTTCGGAATCAGAAGCTTCTAAGTGCCATCTGAATTTATTTTCTAAAATTAGCATTTTGGGCGACACGGTGGCGCAGTGGTTAGCAATGTCAGCTCACAGCAAAAAGGTCGCTGGTTCGAGTCTCAGCTGGATCAGTTGGCATTTCTGTGTGGAGTTTGCACTTTCTCCCCGTGTTGGCGTGGGTTTTCTCCGAGTGCTCCAGTTTCCCCCACAGTCCAAATACATGCTGTATAGGCGAATTGGATGAACTAAATCAGGGGTCACCAAACTTGTTCCTGGTGTCCTGCAGATTTTAGCTCTAACCCTAATCAAACACACCTGAACAAGCTAATCAAGTTCTTACTGGGTATACTTGAAACACCCAGGCAGGTGTGTTGAGGCAAGTTGGTGCTAAACCCAGGGACACGGACCTCCAGGACCGAGATTGGTAACCCCTAAACTAAATTGTCAGTAGTGTATGTGTAACTGTGTATAGGTGTTTCCCAGCACTGGTTTGTGGCTGGAAGGGCATCCACTGTGTAAAACATATGCTGGATAAGTTGGCGGTTCATTCCGCTGTGGTGACTTCTGATGAAAAAAAGCACTAAGCTGAAAAGAAAATGAATGAATGAAATTAGCCTTTTTTTTCAGGCTACTTTGTGTATGTTCAGTTATTTCTCTTTGAAGTCTGTGTGAACCTAGTCTCTGAGACTTTTATATCAGTATGTTGATGTACTTCCAGCTAAAACAGAAAATTGAGTAGGGGGCGGGGCTTTCCTGTGCACATCATTCCCTAATAGCAAACTAACGGTAAGAGAGTGTATTCATATGCAGTTACTATGGAAGCCCTTAGGTCGACGTCAACAGATGATCTGCAACTCCAAACGTGGAAGCAAATGGTCAGACTTTCATTGCAGATTACCAAAACGCACAGTTTTTCATGCATATTTCACGCAGACTTTATATGAAATTGGAAGAACCTATGTATTTATATATATATATATGGATTTGAAAAAAAAAAAAAAAATATATATATATATATATGTGTGTGTGTGTGTGTGTGTGTGTGTGTTTCAAAATCCATGCACATCAATCTCAGCTGGGTGCTCAGCCATATAAGCAAAAATATACATACAACACCAAAGGTTCCGAAAGTATTACAGTAATATACACCGTGGGATTCACAGGTATACTGTATACATTTCACAGCATGCAACATTTCGAGCACAGTCTGAGGAAGGCCGGTGTGCATGAAACGTTACACGCTGAGGTAGCCTTTGTTAGGTAAAGAAAATTTATACTTTTGGAGCTTTTGGTGTTGCATGAACCTATTTATCGTCATTAAAGTGAAATTGCTGAACCTACACACAGGAGCCTGAGAGAGAGAGTAAAAAAGCTAATTTTAGAAGACAATTTCAGATAGCACTTTAAAAGCTTTTTCATCTGAACTCTCCATACACCTTCCGGGCACCACCTGAAATCAAAACTGTCATGCCAATCCCACCAATAATGTTTCCCATTAATTGCACGTAGGTTATGAGGTTAATGTTGATTTTTCTTTGAAAAGAGTCCACATTTTATGTACCTATGATAAGCACAATCTTCAGAACATTACCTCTTGCCTCCTTTGTGGCTTAGCACTATAGCCTTGACTATGTTTCTAACTGATGATTAACTGCGTTGCACTTTCATTCGCTTGCTGCTGCTCTCTGAATCAAGCTCTTGTCATGCACGATGGTGTAGAAACCTCATTTTAGGAGTTAACCGGTTGGCTGTAGGAACAGTGGCCCATCCTAAGGAACAACACATATATTTTGAGAATCAGTTTTGACAGATACAGCAGCAGAATACAGCAGCAGCAAAAAAGTATGAAACACTGCATGCGAGTGTGTATGGGTGTTTCCTAGTACTGGGTTGCAGCTGGAAGGGCATCCGCTGTGTAAAACATGTTGGATAAGTTGGTGGTTTATTCCACTGTGGTGACTGCTGATGAATAAAGAGACTAAGCTGAAGGAAAAAGGAAAAATGAAGCACTGCACTCACCTGCATATTCCTGTGGAGCACTCATAGTTGTTCTGGCAGTAGGCACCGTGTGGTTTAGTACCCACAGTCCTCCATAATGGGGTCATTCGAGCTGTTCTCTTCAGTGACCTTTGGACTTTCTGCACAGAGGTTGAGGGTGTGTCTGGCTGAAGCACAGGACTGCAGGTCACCTGAAACACAGAGTGTCAGTGAGCTCCACAATAATAAAACCTAATAGCTTCAAATCCATTTAAAGAAGCAGATAAAGCACACAGCTCTATCTGCGTAGTTTATTTACACTGTAAAAATATTTAAATAGAATTTGTGGTTCACAGGTGTACTTCTGTTTAATTATACATTGCATTATGCTAAGGAAATTGCAGTGTTAAGGGGATAGTTCACCCCAAAACTAACATTCATTACTATTTACTCATCCTAAAGTGGTTTAAAAGGGGTTTGAATTTTTTTAGTCTGTTGAACACAAAAGAAGATATTTTGAAGAATGCTGAAAACCTGTAACCATTGGCTTCTGCACTGAAAAATGATTCTGCAAAATTGTTGCAAACAATTTACATGTGTTGAATTTAAACAAACAAATTAAGTTTAGTAATGATCAACTTAATTTGTCTGTTTTAATTCATTGTCAATACATTGTTTACAACCACTTAACTAAGATTTAGAAAATCCAAGGAATCATCTTTGAATCATTTTTTTCATAAACAAGCAATAGTTGTGTTCCCAATATTTCTTCAAAATATCTTCATTTGTGTTTAACACAAAAAAGGGTGAGTAAACGATATCTGCTCCAAAAACTTCTGACATAAAATCTATAACTAAATCTCTGCAGAAGGGATTTTTGTTTTGATTTTTAAAAGTATATTAATGTATTCTTACCTTGTTCAATGTTGTTTTAATATTTCAACAAAATCTAAACTAATCCAAAACACGTGAAACTGAAGCAAAACATTTAGGTGATATTTCCCAGCACTGTGGCTCAAATTATTTTATTAATATAAATGTTTGGATTTCACAAATCTAAAATATATGTCATATGTGCAACATATATTTAAACATTTTGCAAAAATAGACATTTAAATATATGTCAAACATTGGAATAACAAATATGAACCTATATTTATATAAATGATTGAAATGCTTTGTCCATAATTACATTTTATTTACTGTAAGACTAAAACTATTCAAATTAAGCTGAAACAACTGAAAACTGAACACTTTAACAGTTATATTACATTAAAAAAAAGTTTTTCAGCAATAATGGTGGAGAATAACCACATTTGATTCTCCAGAGATCATTAAAGAACATTCAATAATGTTTCACATAATGTAATGTAAACAACACCTCAAATAAGCAGTTCAATCATGTTTCAATGTTCAGTAATAAATGTTTTCTTCTATTTCTTTCTAAACATTTGTGCATTGAAAAGATTCCATGGATGTTAAAGTCTCCCAATGGAACCACAGATATCAATAAATGACCTTTTTTTAAGAGTAAGAGAAAATAATAAATTTTGAATAAATAAATTTTTATAATAAATAACTTTTTTCTATATAAAAAGCACTGTATGTGTTCATGAAAGATTCCATTGGTGTTAGAGGTCCTTAATGGACGCAGATGCTGATAAAGAAATAATTGTTTTTAATAAGTTACACTTTCAATACTACAAATGAATAATGATCATAAGTACCTGTTGGACAATCAGCAGAAACAGCAGGCAGCAGGCTAGAAGAGCCCCTCTGTGACTGAGATCCTTCATGCTGAGTGAGTGAATTTGAGTTGAGCTCACAGTGATACTCATGATAGAGACAGTGGATGGACAGTCTTATATACCCTCCAGTCAGCATAAGAGAGACTGTATGCCTCTCCCTCATCCCTCTGTCTCTCTCTCTCTCTTTCTCTTTCTCTCACTCTCACTCACACTCTCTTTTCAATACCAGATGTAACACATGTTTGCCTAATGTTTGTGACTGGCATAAGCTGTCCTCTGGGGCTCTGGGTGAGAGAGAGAGAGAAAACGCAGTCAGAGTTGACAGAAACAAGGGATCAGAAAGAACGAGAGGAATGAGGCTCAGGAATAAAAATCTATCATATTTCAGACACATACATGTCAGCAATTTTGAGAATCTGCAGCTTTCTTGAAAGTTAAACCCAAATTCAACTTGTAGGTAAATATCTAAGCAAGCATTTTTGTGTTTGTGTCTTTAAAGTTAAAGTAGTCTGTCTAATAGATGTCTAAACATAGACGGATTAAATAAAACAAGGCTTAATTTCGGCTGTCAATGGAAATCTAATAGAAGTCTAGCCCAAAACTAGAAACAGACTTCAAACAGGCAGAAATGAATGACTACACACATGTACACACATGTAAAAAGTAAGTAAACCCATTGCTTTAAAAGCGACATGTTGACATTACTTAAATGACATAAAAGAAAAGTAAATCCATTGTAACCTGGACCTGTTAAGTGGATTTAACTTAGATTAGAATTTAGATTCATGCACAGTTCATTCTCTTACAAATTATAAGGCAATGGATTTACTTACTTTTTAAGTAAAGTCAATCATTTTAAAAGCAATAGGTTTACTTAATTATTTTAAGTAAAGTCAACTAATTGTTTTTAAAAGTAACACGTTTACTTGATTATTTTAAGTAAAGTCAACTAATAATTTTAAAAGCAACAATTTTACTCAATTATGTTAAGTAAAGTCAACTAATCATTTTAAAGCCAATACGTTTGTTAAATTGATTTAAGTAAAGTAAACTAATCATTTTAAAAGCAACAAGTTTACTTAATTATTTTAAGTAAAGTCAACTAATCATTTAAAAAGCAACAAGTTTACTCAGTTATTTCAAGCAAAGTCAACTAATCATTTAAAAAGCATTAGATTTACTAAACTATTTTAAGTGAAGTCAACTAAGTTTTAAAAGCAACAGGTTTATTCAAATATTTTAAGTAAAGTCAACTAATCTGTAACGACGGGGTGGAGTGACAGAGACAACAGGAGGTAAGATCCAATATGCAGGTTTATTCAGCGTCAGGCAAGCAGTGGTCAACAGGTACAAACGGGTATGTGTAGGCAAATCCAGAATCGTAGTCATACAAACAGGCAATAGGTTGAAAGGCAGGCGGCTAAACAGGAGAATACGGATGAACAAGGCTAAGGTCTAAACACAGGAAAACAAGACAGGGAAAACGCTTTGTAATGCTACTGGTACAGACTCGGCAAACAGGATGGGTTGATGAGTGGCTTATGTATGGTGTGTTATCAGTCTCTGACAAGGTTCAGCTGGTGAGTGTAATCAAGCTAGATGAATGAGCATGGGTGTCTGGGCGAAGTGCATGTATGAATATGTAGTCCTGGGAAAGGCGGAAGTGTAGTCCATGGTTATAGTGGGAGAACCAGCGATCTCTGGCGAACGATAGCTGATTATGTGACATAGCCCCCCCTCTAGAGTGGATTCCAGACACTCCACTTCTGTTCAGGCGGGAGGCTGAGTGGAGGTGGAACAGGGGGAGGGATGGAGGGCCAGGACCATGCAGCTGGGGCGTACCTGGGGCATGGAGCTGTGGAAGGCCTGGAGAGTGGAGCTGCGGAGGACCCGGAGAGTGGAGCTGCAGAGGGCCTGGAGCGTGAAGCTGCGGAAGACCCGGAGAGTGGAGCTGCAGTGGCCCTGGATCGTGTGACAGCGGAGGACCTAGAGCGTGGAGCTGCAGTAGACCTGGATCGTGTGACAGCGAGGGCCTAGAGCGTGGGGCTGTAGTGGACCCAGAGCGTGGACCTGCAGTGGTCCTGGATCGTGTGACAGCGGAGGACCTGGAGCGTGGAGCAGCTGTGGACCTGGATCGTGTGACAGCGGAGGACCTGGAGCGTGGAGCTGCGGAAGACCTGGATCGTGAGACAACGGAGGACCTGGAGCGTGGAGCTGTAGTGGACTTAGGTCATGAGGCTGAAGAGGGCCTGGAGTACTGCGAGGAGTAACGGCAGGACGGCAGGGTGAGCCGTCTGGGTGGAGCCGGCAGGGCAAGGAGTCTGGATGGTGCCGGCAGGGTGAGGAGCCGGGCTGGGATCGGCAAGGCGAGGAGCCAGGCTGGGGCCCGGCGGGCAAGGAGTTTTGGCCGTTCGAGAAGCTTAGGAGGTGGCGGCCCTTTGGGAAGCTCAGGCAGCGTCGACTCTGGCTGAGGCGCTGGCTGCGGCATCGGCGCTGGCTGCGGCATCGGCGCTGGCTGCGGCGTCGGCTCTGGCTAAGGCGATTGGCTGCGGCGTCGGCTCTGGCTGCGGCGGTGGCTGCGGCGTTGACTCTGGCTGCGGCGTCGACTCTTGCAGCGGCACTGGCAGCTCTGGCGGTGGCAGTGACTCTGGCAGTGGCAGTGATTCTGGCAGCTCTAGAGGATCTGGCAGCAGTGGAGGATCTGGCAGTACTAGAGTCTCTGGCAGCCCTGGAGGATCTGGCAGCACTGGAGTGTCTGGCAGCTCTGGAGGATCTAGCAACACTGGAGGGTCTGGCAGCACTGGAGGATCTGGCAACACTGGAGGGTCTGGCAGCACTGGAGGATCTGGCAACACTGGAGGGTCTGGCAGCACTAGAGCTCTAGAGGATCTAGCAACATTGGAGGGTCTGGCGGCACTGGAGGATCTGGCAACACTGGAGAATCTGGCAACACTGGAGGGTCTGGGAGCTCTGGAGATGGCTTTTCAAGGGCAGGAACAGACTTGGGACTGGAAGCCATCTTGTTAGCTGGCTGACTGGGAGCGGCCTTCTTGTGAGCTGGCTGTGGAAAATGGGCCGCAAGCCCCGTTGCCAGCGGGTCTTGCTCTCTATAGCCCCCATTTTCCATTTTCCTCCACTTCTCCTATGGTGAAGGAAGATCCACTCATTTGAAGGGCTAGATCGATGTATTGTGCTAGCGTCCAGTGAGGATTGTGCAGTGGCATGTGGGGCATGTGTTTAATCATTTAAAAAGCAACATGTTTACTCAATTATTTTAGGTGAAGTCAACTAATCATTTAAAAAGCAACATGTTTACTCTATTTTAAGTGAAGTCAACTAATAGTTTTAAAAGCAACAGTTTTACTCAATTATTTTAAGTAATATCAACTAATTGTTTTAAAAGCAACAGGTTTACTCAATTATTTTAAGCAAAGTCAACAAATCATTTAAAAAGCAATAGATTTACTCAATTATTTTAAGTGAAGTCAACTAACAGTTTTAAAAGCAACAGGTTTACTCAATTATTTTAGATGAAGTCAACTAATCATTTTAAAGGCAACAGGTTTACTCAGTTATTTTAAGTCAAGTCAACTAATAATTTAAAAAGCAACAGGTTTACTGAAATATTTTAAGTGAAGTCAACTAATCGTTTAAAAAGAAATATGTTTACTCAATTATTTTAAGTAATGTTAACTGATAGATTTAAAAGCAACATGTTTATTCAATTATTTTAAGTAAAGTCAACTAATAGTTTTAAAAGCAAAAGGTTTACTCAATTATTTCAAGTGAAGTCAACTAATCATTTAAAAAGAAATAGGTTTGCTCAATTATTTTAAGTGAAGTCAACTAATCATTTAAAAAGCAACAGGTTTACTCAGTTATTTTAAGCAAAGTCAACTAATCATTTAAAAAGCAATAGATTTACTCAATTATGTTAAGTAAAGTCAACTAATCAATTTAAAGGCAATATGTTTGCTAAATTGTTTTAAGTAATGTCAACTAATCATTTAAAAAGCAACAGGTTTACTCAGTTATTTTAAGTAAAGTCGACGAGTTTTAGCCAAGACTTCTGTGTTTAGACATCTATTGCTGGAAAGGAATCTGAATCAAAATCAAAGCTTGCCATCAGGTTCCTTTGACACAGTTCTTCTGTCTCCTTGTTATCAGAAGCACATACACAGACAGGGGCCTTGAAAAAGAACAATAACTGATTAAAGACTAGTGTTTGTTGTGTTTTAATGCAGAATAACAAAAAAATCACTCAAACCACACAAAAAAAAAGTAGCTCAGAACAGTTCAGACATGAGTCGCGCCACTGATCCAGCTCATCACAAAGGTTTCACACTGACTTATGGTGTTTACTGGATATGATGCTTATCATCTTGGGATTGTCAACGCTCATAAATAATAGCCATTTCATAAGCCGATGCCCTTGTTTTAAGCATTTCTAACATGCTCGTTGTATTGGTCACAGTATTGAGATTGAGCTCAAGGTTAAACTTATCAAGATTCTGCAAAAAAATGTCTTCTTGAGTGAGAGACAAACATGATTTGTTCAGATCAATGTTGCATTCAATCTATACAGGACAAGTGTTTATTCGGGTCAACATAACGTCATCTGACTATATAACTATACACTGAAGATTGGCCTTTACTCTTTAAGCTTGTTGTCATTACTGTTCAAAAAGCAATACCTATGTTTGGAGTTACATGGATTTAAAATAAAAAAAGAAATGAACAATGCATTAAAATGATGGAAAGTACAGATATTTATAATGTTACACAATATGTGTGCTTTACAAAAAAGCCTTTTATTTGCATTTATAATTTTGATTTTGAAGAGGTTGTGGAAAACAAATAATTTTGAAGAAAAAAAAACAGAAAAGTGCAATGTTATTCTGAAAATGGTGAAATATATAAATATAAAACATGAAAATCTCTGAAATGCAGCAGGCATTTTTGTTTATAATATTTTGTTTTATTTAAAATTTATAATATATTTTACAAAACAGATAAATACCAATAAAAAGAGGAAAAAATAGAACAGAATAATTGACAATAGCTAGCATCATAAAT